ATTAAGGTGAATATTCTAAAAATTAATAAAATTGCTGTACAAATCCTATGCACTTTCTCAATTGATAAAAATTTTATGAAACTTACCCTTGACAATGAATTTTTACCCTGTTAAAACTTAAAACTGCACGAATAGTAAGTAACCAATTGCACTGCTGACATTTGTGCAGCAATATCTTAAATCCTTGGAATATCCTGCGTCTTTTGATACTTTGTTTCTGTAAAACAAAGTAAGGTATGTCCTTGCGCAGAAGCGATTTTGTTGATGTTTCTTATAAACTTGTGTAGTACAGGTCGATGACGTCATAGTATGACGTCATAATGTGTACTAGCTACTGCATGTCTTGGGTACCACGAATGTATTAGAAAACAAGTCTTAGCATTTACTGTACGGTATGTAGAGCAATTGTGGAATTTAATTAGATATTTCGTATAGTAATTTCCATTTGTAGCCTTAACTCACATGCGTAGTATCTGTGCGACTGTCCCGTGGTACGACTTACTGTCTGTATTACGTCAGATGGCGGGATAGTCGCACTCCCTCTCTCTACACTTGGATGCCGAGCAGACCGGACGTGTCTGGGACAGCAGCAGAGCGGGAAGTCGACCCGGGCCAGAACCCACTGTGATTGTCTTTGTATATATGTTGGATGATAATAAATATATTGTAAAGCACACCCCCTAGACGGTTACTTTACTGGCGCCCAATTCGCGGGGCCCGGGACTCCCTTACTGCTGTCAGGTATTTTTAGGCATCGGTTTTAGCCGCCATTTTTGGTGCTGCTAGGTACGTGAGAGCACATGTTGATTTTTCATGTATTTTTCTTGAATCGACCTTTGGAATTGATTTGTAAATATTGGCAGTGATTTATTTGATTATTTGTGACATTTTATTATGGATATGTCTGTAGAGGAGGCCGTGTCGGCTCTAGGCCTGGACACGCGCCCGGCTATCAATAGTGTCATGCAGTCGGACAGATTTAACCCCCGTATTCCGTGTAGTGTGTATGGTTTTCCCGGGGGAGAGGGTTATTCACCATATGTTTATAATGGGAGCGAACATATTGCATCCCGTCACACACCTTTTGCTCAGTCAATGTCAGGTCACATGGGAGGGGGGTTGCCCCTGGGGGGTCCCTCTACATCCACGCCCGGCCTGCATTCGGGCATCCCCTGTGGGGAGGGTAGTGTGTTACATGGTATGTCAAGGAGAGAAGTAAGGTTTGCCCAGCCCCAATGTAGCTCACCAGGGGTGATGACCAGTGATTCCCTGGAGTCCTCTTTAGGTAGCCTGTGTTGGTGTGGCTCACCTGGCAGCACCGTGGGTTGTAGCCCACCTAGGTATGAATACAGTGAGATTCCCTTGAGTTTAGGTTTAGAACATCGGTATTCTGTAGGTCATGTGCTCTCAGCTAGCAGCCAACCTGTCCTTGTGGAAGACAAAGCTAACCTGGGGGACATGGGAGTTAGACAAAGCTTTGATGAGGGTATACCCCACTCGCTTGACCCCGCCCCTCCAAAACATACACTGTTTGCCAATCAACAGCCTGTGAGGCCTGCACAGCTCACTTCTGAGTATGATCAGAGGCCTGTTTACCCTTTAGGGCTAACCTGGAACCCTTTGCCTGTACAAAACCAGCCTAGACCCGTGGACTTTAGTGTGTCCTCGCTTCCTGGGGATGATTTTCAACCCCGGACCTCAATGCCACACACTACCTTTGTCCGAGACTTGGTGAATACTGGGGGTGGACATGCCCAACCCCCACTGCCCGATCACACCCAATCCCCATGGTACAGAGGTGAGGATGTTCAAACCTCGCACCTACGTATGACTATGCCCAGTGAATCACAGCATCATAGTGTCCCCATGTCGTCGACTTGTAGTCCTGCCTATCTGGATACCCCAACCTGCCATTTTGGAAGGGAGGGGGAGAGGATAGCACATGTGCATGATACAGCCAAGCTGGGACACAATGCTAGTCAGCCTGTCCCGGCCCACCAGGATAGCAGCTTTAATACACCTGCACAGAAAACCAGTAGGGCAGCTGCTGGGAGTAAGCCTAAGTACAAGGACCTTAGGTATGATGGTAAGACCAGCTGGAAGGCATATTTGCACAGGTTTGTGAGGTTGTCTCGCAGTCAGCTGTGGACCGAGGAGGAGCAGCATGACCAGTTCTGTTTTTCCCTTGAAGGGGCAGCAAGCGAGTATTATACCCTGCTGTTAGAAACCAGTAGCCAGCTCCGCCTAGGTGAGATCTTGCAGAGATTTGAGAAGCGTTTTGGTTCCTCTGCCCCAGATCTCACTCATCAACTTAACTTCCAGTCTGCCAGCCAGAACCCTGGAGAGTCACTTCATCAGTGGGCCGACAGAGTCCTGACTTTGGCGACACGAGCCTTCACCAGTGTGCCTGATGTGCAGACTCGCGCTATACCTCGGCTATGCTATGGAGCTGAGGACAGAGATGCTGGTATTTACGCACTTGATGGGCATCCCCGGACAGTGGAGGAAGCCGTGGAGCGTATGCAATACTATCAGCACTCCCGGCGTCACAGGCCTAAGCCGTCAAGGGAAGTGAGAAAGCTGGATTCTGCTCATGACATGAAGCAGACTGATCCCGGGAGAGTAAATGTTGCTGCTGTGGAGGAGCTCGCAGCCCTCTGGAGCAGGATAGAAAAACTAGAGGAGTTGATAAGGCAGAGGGAAGCTGCCCCCCTTCAGAAACATCATAGGAGTGGTACCCCGTCACCCAGATGGACGGAGCGGGACCGGAAGCCTGCTGTATGTTTCAGGTGTGGAGAGGTGGGGCACTTCCGTAGAGATTGCCCCACCCGAGCTGCAGGGAAGACAGTGGCTACTGATGGACAAAGGGGCGGGACCAGTATAGGAGGACTCCTTGTAAAGCCGTTTCCTAGGTCAGATTCCAGTGAGCTGGGGATCAATGTTCCCCGCTCCTGTGTGCGGCGCCGACGCAAGCGCCGTAGGCTGAAAGATCAATTTGGGATGCAACCATCACCGGAGCTTTGCTTGGTTGAGGAGGAAGTGGTCACCATGGAAGAGGAAGTGGGGACTCCCCACTCCACTCTGGAGCCGTTTGGACCAGCCATGGTTGGTGATGAACCCCAAGACCTGGGGAGGATGGACCCATGTGATGTTGATCTGAGGTCGCCTGCAGGGATGGGTAATTCCTGGTCACCCATGGCAGTGGGATTGAAGGAGCCCTCTATACCCACTGAGCGGTTATGCGGATCTAAAGGTTTTATGGTTGGCCTCTGCGTGGAAGTCACGGAGGTTACAGCAGTAGTGGATACAGGGGCTGAGGTCAGCGTGTTGTCGACCAGAGTGTATGATCAGCTGGAGCCTAAGCCCCCAATTCTGGAATATGTGACCATGAGACAGGCCGGAGAAAATACAGAGTTGGAAGGGTTCATAGCGGGGCCTGTCACTGTGTGTATTGGCCAGCAGGAGCACGAAATGGAACTCTATGTCGCCCCGTTGCAGGACTCGATGCTGCTAGGCATGGATTTTCTTCGTGCCCGGAAAGCCCAGCTGGACTTTGGGCAAGGGACCCTTACTCTGGGGGATGAGGCCATAAAGATGGAGTCCAGGAGGTCTGGTGGTATTCCAGAGGAAGGCGTGACCTTAGCAGGAGGCACACCAGTTGAGGTAGACAAGTGTATGTCTGTTCCCCGTTTAGTGAGGGATTTTGGTATTGTGGCACCTCTGACCCATCCTGGAAGTACACTGGGTATACCAGACCCGGTAGTAGAGATGTTTGGAGAATCCCTCTTGGATTCTGCCATAGAGGATATCGGTGTTGAACCACTATCCCCAGGAGCATCCCAACCTTCTTTCAATAAGGTGGCCTATGGTCATGTTTCTTGGCGATTGCCGACTTGTGTGGGCAGGGGCCCAACCCTAGAGGTAGAGGACACCAAGGACCATGTTGCAGAAATGGGGACAGCCCCGTATGACTCAGGCAGTCCCTGGTTGTCTGATGATTCGACACCAGAGGAGAAAAGTACTTCTCGCTTGTACAGACCCAGGCAGAGGCGTGGGCGACGCCGGAGGGCAAGTTTGCCCTCCAGAGCCTGATGGTGTAAGTTTTGTCAGTTTCTGAGTTGTTAGTGGGCCTGGTGACCTTGGCCCACTCAGTGAATGTTAAACAGGAGTTGTAGGAGGTAATCTGGGAATTATCCCGGACTTACAACCTGGTAAATTTGTGTAAATCCTTGTGGTGGTTTTGACTGGAGCTTGCTTCAGCATTTGTTATACTTGGGCAGTTAGCCCAGGAGGGCGTTTACAGCGCCACAACGATGGAGATGGTTCCGGACCCTCTTTCATGTGGTAGACTCCAGCCTTTCAAAGAAAACAGGGGGGAGTGTAGTATCTGTGCGACTGTCCCGTGGTACGACTTACTGTCTGTATTACGTCAGATGGCGGGATAGTCGCACTCCCTCTCTCTACACCTGGATGCCGAGCAGACCGGACGTGTCTGGGACAGCAGCAGAGCGGGAAGTCGACCCGGGCCAGAACCCACTGTGATTGTCTTTGTATATATGTTGGATGATAATAAATATATTGTAAAGCACACCCCCTAGACGGATACTTTAGACATTTTGACCAGAAATGGAAAGTATATCTGTGATTAAAAAAATTATCTTTATGTTAAAGAAAATTCGGAAATTAAATAAAAAAAAATACCTCCCTCATCTACTTCACTGCCAATAAAATGAAAAATAAAATGCCGCCCTCCCGCATCTGTTTTGGAGAAAATTGGCCTGAGAACCAAGGAATTAAATTTAGATAGCCTAAATTGCACATTATTTTCTTAACGGGAGTGTCGAGGACTGATAAAAACATATAAAAACATAACGCTCCAATTCTCCAGCTACACTGTCATATGACAGTTCTTAGCAGGTCTCTCTCTTTGTATGTATATATATGTCAATGTCCTATTTACAATATGTGCACGTTCACTGCTTCAATAAATATAAAACATCGAATGTTATAACTTTTATTTCTATATAAAAATGATCTGCGATGTGCAGCATTATTGCACAAGAAAATAGCACTATAAAACTAGAAAAAAAGAAAGGAATGAAAAAGAATTCCAAAATAATCATTAACCCCAAAACCCATATAATCTACCCTTTATATAAGTAACATTGATAAATGATAATTGTATGTATATATGAAAAATATATAAATTAAGCATATAAAATGAAAAAAAGGTAAGTGATAAAGAGAAACAAAGATGAGTTTTTCCAACAATCGGTGGTAATTTTCCCCCTAACATAAATCCATACATAATAATACTATACATATTGCTAAATCTCAATTATAGCTATATCTTTGGATAAGAAATCCATCTCATTGGATAGAAAACTATGTATTGCTAAAACCTACATCAAAACATTTAAACTACGATTATATCTGATATCAAAACAACATATTAAAAGTTTCTTTCAACTCAGAAACTGTCATCTCTCAGTATCAAATATTTATGATTAGATTAGCCTCGGCTGTCCTCGGGTAGCTAGGCGCTGAGAGCCATCCGGATCTGTCTGTCATGTTTTCCTTCAGACAGGCACGTGACGCTCAAAAGTGGATGGTCCGTTTTCTGTAGATATTTCTGAAATGTCAGACATAAGGTAACTTTATTAATCCTCAAAATGTTATGAATGAACTTTCATGGCAACAATCATCATCATAACAAATGTAAGATTTGTTTTTGTTTTAAGGAAAGAATTAAATATTGGATAAAACACACAGTAACATTAATTAATAAAACTTTTTTGGGACCAGTGTAAATCAAGATGCATCATTTGTCCATATTGATCATAAAATAGTTCTGCTTACATGGGCATAAGTCATTGCATTCTTTCTCTCAGCAACAGAAGTTTCCAATCCAATCCAAACGTAGACAGCTTTCTTGGTGTCGACAATAAACACATCCTAATGTTAAAAAACGTCAACAGAAATATATTTATCTCACTGTTACACTCATCCAAACTGTGGTGAGTCTGACCTAAGACAGATCTGCAAGTCTCGATGTTTGATGTCAAATTCCCAGTAGAAAATATTTTAAACAGCAGTCTTCAGTGTTCAGTGTTCACTCACCTTGCTGTCCAAATCAGATGTGGATACTGACCCACTCTTCTCTACTTTAAACGTCAGATTTCCCGAGGCATCAGACAATCTATAGAAACAAGATGTTGTCATACTTTGATGATGAAACGAAGTGTAAATTTATATGATGGAGCAACGGTGACTTTTTTTTTTATTTCAACGTCTTTTTCAGAAGCCCCTGTCTTATAAAGTTCTTGAAGTAAATAATATTCCATTCAAATAATAAGAAAACATGTTTAATAAAGAAAAAAAAGTAAAACTTATAGTTGTAGGTAACAGGAAAACCTACTTCAAAGACATAACTTATTTCTAGATGTGTGCATGTCTTTAATTTGCAGACTTAACTGTCAGTTGTCTACTACTTCAAGAGGTTATCAAAAAAAGTCGGAAAAAATAAAGCATTTTGAATTCCTGATACATTAATTTGATAAAGATTTTCAACCTTGACATCAAGTCAGTCATTTCAGAATCTTAGACTTTGTCTTTGAGAAATTATGTGATGGTATTTGTGTATTTGTGCCCCAATACACTATATGCCCCTTAGCCAACCTGAAGAGTTCCACTGTCAAATCTTTCGGCTTCATGTTCTCTGCTTCATCTGGAACATCGTCTTCAGTCAGGGCATGGTAAAACTCGTGCTGTAAAAGGGATAAGGGCATGGTAAATCTCATGCTGTAAAAGGGACAAGGGCATGGTAAAACTCGTGCTGGAAAAGGGATAAGGGCATTGTAAAACTCGTGCTGTAAAAGGGATAAGGGCATTGTAAAACTCGTGCTGTAAAAGGGATAAGGGCATGGTAAAACTCGTACTTTAAAAGGGATAAGGGCATGGTAAAACTGATGCTTTAAAAAGGATAAAGACATGGTTAAACTCATGCTGTAAAAGGGATAAAGGCATGATAAAACTCGTGCTGTAGAAGGGATAAAGGCATGGTTAAATTCGTGCTGTAAAAGGGATAAAGGCATGGTTAAACTGATGATGTAAAAGGAATAAGGGCATTGTAAAACTCGTATTGTAAAAAGGATAAGGGCATGGTAAAACTGATGCTGTAAAAGGCATAAGGGCATGGTAAAACTGATGATGTAAAAGGAATAAGGGCATGGTAAAACTCGTATTGAAAAGGGGATAAGGGCATGGTAAAACTCTTAATGTAAAAGGGATAAGGGCATGGTAAAACTCGTGCTGTAAAAGGGTTAAGGGCATGGTAAAACTCGTGCTGTAAAAGGGTTAAGGGCATGGTAAAACTCATGCTGTAAAAGGGATAAAGGCTTGGTTAAACTCATACTGTGAAAGGGATAAAGGCATAGTAAAACTCGTGCTGTAAAAGGGATAAGGGCGTGGTTAAACTTATGCTGTAAAAGGGATTTCTTCTACATAAGCAGCTTGTAGTCAGCATGCAACGATACGGAAAAAAACAGTCCAATTCAAAACCAATCATCAATATACAAAGAAAGATTAAATTCTGCTTCCTTGCTTTTTTTTTTTACCAAAACTTAATTGAGGAGACATGATTTTTTTTGTTATCTTGATCAAATTTTGTGAAATATTTTTTACATAACAGTATACAATGTACAAAGAAACAGAAAAAATATAAAGATTAGAATAGCTCATGTCTTTACCTGAGAATAGAAAAGGACCTTCTCAAGATAAAATCAAACCTTTAGTTCATATTAAAAAAAAATTGTCTGGTTGCCCTCCCCCTACTGACTGACTAAAAATGGCCCAACTCAAAATTTCTAAAATATATTCCAAGACATATTTTATAAATTCCTCTTATCCAGTCAACAAATAATAGTTTTAAAATGTATTATTATTAACTCGAATTAAAAAAATACCGTTATAATGAATCAAAATCAGTTCCTCTTGGACTTTGCTGTAAGCGTGTTTTACTGTCAGTGATTAAAATGCGAGAAATTTGCAGTACATGTATATGGATATTTAGACATTTTCAAAGAACAAAAAGCAATCTACCATATAACTAATAAATAAATGCAATATTTTCCCTTTTGATATAATTTAAATATTAATGAAAAGACTTGCAAGGTTTAATAATGACCTTAGTATCACAAGGCCAGGAATTTACGAAGTCCAAGTTTGTAATTAATGTTTATATTCCTTTTTTGTTTTAGACGTAAAGGTCGTAAAATGTATATACATGTCAAATACAAGATTTGTTTTGAAACGTAACAGAGAGTAATGTTAAAATTCTAGCCTTTGTGCCTTACTGTATATTTGTCTTATTTTCTTCCATTTGATAAACATGCAAGCTTGTCTTTTAGTCCAATATACTAATAATAATTATAACAGTCATACATGCATTGGGGTTATAATGATAAAGTGTGATAAACAGATTAATAAATAACTATGTAAATAAATAATCAATTGTATGCATACAGAATAAGTGGAAATTTTAGCAAGACGCAAATTTAGCGATTTGTCCTTTAAATTGGGTATTTTGTTCTTAACAATAAGTAATTTTAGCAATTTTAAAATGCACACTAAAGAAGCTATTACAAATAAAACGCAATTAATTTTTAGCTTAATTGAATTTTAGTGATCTCAACACCCTTGCTAATAATGCCAAAATTAAATCTTAGCTACATATTCTGCTTATATAGTATATTCACTCATTAGTAGGGCTGGGTACTGGCCTAAGATTTCGTATTGCGATAATTTTTAATGTATTGCAATATTTTGAACGTTATCAAAATGGATTTTTTATTATTATACAAACTTTAATTTACATGCAGAATGTACATAACTATGATAAATAAGCAAAAAAAAAAAAAAAAAAAAAAGATTTAATCTTGTTGGTTTTATTTAATTTATGCTGTAAAATTAACCCATAAAACAGTTTCTGTCTTATTATTTGGAATAATAACAGCCTTTCTTAAATCTGTTATTTATATTTGATGATAAAATTCCTTAGTGAAACCATTTTGCCAGTAAATTGATATTACAAAAAGTTGAAAAATGTATTGCGATACAATATTTTTGTTATATTGCAATATATCGAAATATCAATATTATGGCCCAGCCCTACTCATTAGTATGAATAATTAACAAGTGTAAATTGTAAACATTATAAATAAACCATAAATGAAACTAGAGGTACTGTGAGCAATGAGCTCACTAAATGATACCCCCTGCCTCCCATAATGTCCATGTGTTGCTATATATTGTTTTGCGGTAATGTGTAAAGAGGAATAAATCGTCCTATCAAATGTTATCCAGAAGCTTCTATATATGTGACGTCATAGGTAAACATATAATGGCAATGTCCATGTTTTGCTATGGGAAACCTAAAATATGTGTCAAATAAAAAAGTAAAATAGGAGGTACACAATGGCAATATGTTATAAAGATTCTGTGAAATTTTCATTAAATTTCACTCAGTAGTATAAGAGGAGTTGCAGATAAGAGATAAAGCGTAGCAGACGGACCGACGGACGGACGTACAGACGGACGGACGGACGAACGGAAATCCCGATTACTATATACCCCCCCCCCCCACTTTTCAAGCGGGGGGTATAATAAACACATGTTAGTATGTTAATTAATTAGTGCTGAGCCACTACACCACTACACAAGCTTCCCGGGTGTGAACTAGCGATACGATCCCCGGCTACTAGTATCTCTCTATACTCACGTCCTTTGATAATAAGCCGTCATCCAGAACTTCTGAACGAGCTTTCCCGTGCCGCTCGTCTTTCAGTTTAAGGATGTACTGCATGGCCTACACAATGACATTTACTACAGAGTTATTTATAGAAGAGAAATAAGTTTAATATCTACATTTACTTACACTCTTAGATAACCCCTCTTCCTCAAGAACTTCGGACTTGGCCTTCCCTCGGCGCTCGTCTTTCAGGGCAATCAAATACTGCATTGCCTGGTGATGTGGTGTGAACATGATTGTCAATTGTTAACAGTTCAAAGAAATAGGTTTTAAGTTATGCACATGAGATCAGTATTGTTTAATCAAGTTTTAAATCCTTGAAGTATGAAAAACAAAATTTTTATTCTCGTTCATTATAAAGAAACAAACTAAATACACCATGTTGACTTTAAATTTATAAAAATCATAACACATTTTTTCTAAAAATAAACTTACTTATACACCCCTAGAAGCCCCTTTTGTGCCTAGAGGTACAAATGGCAAAGACTCTGTAACTGATATTTTATGGATACATGTTGCTCCTTCAGTAATTTTCCAGCGACATTTTAAGAAAATTTCCTAAATCTTTGGATAAAACCTTGGAATTCCAAAAGTAGGTCACCGTGACCTACTTTTTTTGTTAGCAAACTACTTTTTTGTTAGCATTCTCTCACAAAAAAAGATGCATCAATGACATAGTTTGATGATTCTATACCTTTCATTATCTGATATATTAATATATTCACATATAGCCATAAATATCAAAAGTAGGCCACAGTGCAAGGATAGAAGTTACACAACTAATCAAGTTTGATGATTTTAGTCTCTTAGTATCCTAAATATTGAGAAACAACAATGAAATTCCAAAAGAAGGAAAGTGTGATCAATATTTTAGTTGACACAGACCGTTAAACTGAGATGCATCAAATGAAAACATCTGAAAATTGAGCTATCTGGCCAAACGTGTTCAAATCCATCTGATTGCCACATGAGCGTTCTAATGACACTCTGTCCTTTAATTAATTACATTTAACATTCTAATGACACTCTGCCCGTTAATAATTAACATACCTTCATTCTCTCGTCTTTGTTGCTGCCTTTACCGTTCCACTGGTAAATAGTCAAACCCAGATCCAGAATAAAAACATCTCCACTGTCCAATCGACTCGCAGAGCGTGGAACCTAGGGACGAGATATTGCTTAGTAACTCTAAAATGTGAACCATAAGAAAAAAGAGAGGCAACAAAACCACCCATCGCCAAATTTGCCTACCACTGGACAGAATGAAAGATAAATGTGAACATGTACTCGACAGATAGAGAGGGAAACAATTATACCCATTCTACTCTTATCTCATGGACCTCAATAACAACTACCAAAATACCTACACCAGATACTATACTTCAGTTCAGTTCCTCTCATAATTTAGGTATCCTCTGCTACTAATCTTTAGTTCTGTGTGAATTACATGATTTTTTAAGAGTTGTTTAGTCTCATAACTGCAACAGTGTGCGCTAAGAAATTATATAATAAGAAATATTATATAAGACTTTCGTAGTTTTTATTGGCTGAAAGTATGTCACGTGATATTCCTCCTTTTGTGATATTAATGTGAAAACGCTTTCATGGAAAATGATCTTGCACGACACGCCATTCGGTTGCACTTAAGTTACGTAGTACGTGACGTCATAATGTAAGAAGTATGAATTTAACCATTGTGACGTAATGACAGCCAAGTCTGTTTAGTTAGGACTGTGTCAGTGCATTGACTTTGAGTGATTACATAATAAAACTGCTATGGACTTCAGTGAAGGTCAATTATGTGGTTATAAGAACTCATGGCAATTGATATTGACCTCAGACACAGAAAATGATAGCGACCTTGCAGGCTCGGTCGCTATCACTTTCTGTGTCTTCAGTCAATATCAATTGCCATGAGTCCTTATAACCACATATTGACCTACACTGAAGTCCATAATTGTATAATATTTTCTTTACCTGTTTAACTTCCACATTTTTCCTGGTTCCACAGAAGTGAAACAGACGTGGTGTGTATTTCTCAGGGGTCACCTTGTTAAAGCCGGTCTCCGCTCCTCCCTCTAGAATTCTGTAATATCAAACTCTAATGATTCAGAAATATTCAGGACTATAACTATTTTTCCTACAAAATCGGACAAGACCTTGAGTGACAGTGGACTAGCAGGTTTTACAGTGGAATCATCATTGTTCATGGGGGTCCATGTTTGTGGATTTTTGTGGGTCACCCTTACCCAAGTCTTTACATTCCCTCTAACGTTTATTTTGTAAACTAATTCATTGAATCTACCATATGAATGAGAAATCCACAAAATAACGTCCCACGAACAAGTTAAATAACACTTACCCATGAATTTACATCCCCCTTTATGTTTATTTTGTAAACATATTAATTCATAAACCTAACATATTAATATTGAGTAATCCACAAAATAACGTCCCACGAACAAGTTAAATTAAACTTACCCATGAATTTACATCCCCCTTTATGTTTATTTTGTAAACATATTAATTCATAAACCTAACATATTAGTGAGTAATCCACAAAATTACGTCCCACAAATAAGTTAAATAACACTTACCCATGAAAACTGACACGAAGAATGTAAGATGATTCTACAATAAGCTCTGACTGGAATTTGTTTTTTTTAAAAACTTACGTGATTGTATCAAAGTAGGACTTGAAGAGATCAGATTCAAAGCCCTGGACCTCTCTGTGTTGGATTGGTTTGTCGTCAAGAAAGGTATCAAGTTCCACAGTCTTGTAAGCTGCTGTCCCATACTCATCCTAAAGAACAACGAAAACAATGAAATGAAAGGAAGATAATGTCCATCTATTACCGTATAAGTAATGTCTACTGTCTTATAAGCTGCTGTCCCATACTCATCCTGAAGACCAATGAAAACAATGAAATGAAAGTAAGACAATGTCCATTTATTACCGTATAAACAGAATTTTTAGCAAGGATTAAATTTTGGCATTTTTAGCGAGGGTAGCTGAGATAGCTAAAATTAAATATCACTAAAATTTAATTGCGTTTTGTTTGTAAAAGCTTCGAAAGTGAGAATTTTTAAAATTGCGAAAATTACTTCTCTCTTAAATCAAAATACCAATTTTTGAGGAAAAATCCCTAAATTTTTGTCTCGCTAAAATTTCCACTTATACCATAGATAAAATCAAAACAAGTCTACAGAAATTTTTTCTCTAAAATCCTCTAAAGATTCTTTTTCCGAAAGGCTTGACTTTTAATTTTTGCTTAATTCTATTATGATTCTCTTTCCATATAATATAATCAAAAAGCCTTGCTTGACTATGACTCTGCCAGTTTCACTAGAGGGTTTTGTTAATTTTTTTTAAAAAATATCAAATATTCACCCCAATGAGTGTGCCTCTTCCTTCTCAATTTGAAATAATTTAGTAAAACTTGACTTTTTTTATATACAAAGCTTAAATCTTATGCCCCTTCACTGGTAACTAGAGGGTATTTTATAGAGATGAATGGATTTCATGTTTCTCATGTTCAGAAAGTGGTCCATATTTTTAAAAAGTTCTGTGCTGTCTTTGTTGTACATGTATATAGTAAGTAATCCTATTTGTGTGTGTTATATATAAGTAATCCTATCTGTGTGTGTTATATATAAGTAATCCTATCTGTGTGTGTTATATATAAGTAATCCTATCTGTGTGTGTTATATATAAGTAATCCTATCTGTGTGTGTTATATATAAGTAATCCTATCTGTGTGTGTTATATATAAGTAATCCTATCTGTGTGTGTTATATATATGTAATCCTATCTGTGTGTGTTATATATAAGTAATCCTATCTGTGTGTGTTATATATAAGTAATCCTATCTGTGTGTGTTATATATAAGTAATCCTATCTGTGTGTGTTATATATAAGTAATCCTATCTGTGTGTGTTATATATAAGTAATCCTATCTGTGTGTGTTATATATAAGTAATCCTATCTGTGTGTGTTATATATAAGTAATCCTATCTGTGTGTGTTATATATAAGTAATCCTATCTGTGTGTGTTATATATAAGTAATCCTATCTGTGTGTGTTATATATGTAATCCTATCTGTGTGTTATATATAAGTAATCCTATCTGTGTGTGTTATATATAAGTAATCCTATCTGTGTGTGTTATATATGTAATCCTATCTGTGTGTTATATATAAGTAATCCTATCTGTGTGTGTTATATATGTAATCCTATCTGTGTGTTATATATAAGTAATCCTATCTGTGTGTGTTATATATAAGTAATCCTATCTGTGTGTGTTATATATAAGTAATCCTATCTGTGTGTGTTATATATAAGTAATCCTATCTGTGTGTGTTATATATAAGTAATCCTATCTGTGTGTGTTATATATAAGTAATCCTATCTGTGTGTGTTATATATATGTAATCCTATCTGTGTGTGTTATATATAAGTAATCCTATCTGTGTGTGTTATATATATGTAATCCTATCTGTGTGTGTTATATATAAGTAATCCTATCTGTGTGTGTTATATATAAGTAATCCTATCTGTGTGTGTTATATATAAGTAATCCTATCTGTGTGTGTTATATATAAGTAATCCTATCTGTGTGTGTTATATATAAGTAATCCTATCTGTGTGTGTTATATATAAGTAATCCTATCTGTGTGTGTTATATATAAGTAATCCTATCTGTGTGTGTTATATATAAGTAATCCTATCTGTGTGTGTTATATATAAGTAATCCTATCTGTGTGTGTTATATATGTAATCCTATCTGTGTGTTATATATAAGTAATCCTATCTGTGTGTGTTATATATAAGTAATCCTATCTGTGTGTGTTATATATGTAATCATATCTGTGTGTTATATATAAGTAATCCTATCTGTGTGTGTTATATATGTAATACTATCTCTGTGTTATATATAAGTAATACTATCTGTGTGTGTTATATATAAGTAATCCTATCTGTGTGTGTTATATATGTAATCCTATCTGTGTGTGTTATATATAAGTAATCCTATCTGTGTGTGTTATATATGTAATCCTATCTGTGTGTTATATATAAGTAATCCTATCTGTGTGTGTTATATATAAGTAATCCTATCTGTGTGTGTTATATATAAGTAATCCTATCTGTGTGTGTTATATATAAGTAATCCTTCCTGTGTGTGTTATATATAAGTAATCCTATCTGTGTGTGTTACATATAAGTAATCCTATCTGTGTGTATTATATATAAGTAATCCTATCTGTGTGTGTTATATATAAGTAATCCTTACTGTGTGTGTTATATATAAGTAATCCTATCTGTGTGTGTTATATATAAGTAATCCTTCCTGTGTGTGTTATATATAAGTAATCCTATCTGTGTGTGTTATATATAAGTAATCCTATCTGTGTGTGTTATATATAAGTAATCTTATCTGTGTGTATTATATATAAGTAATCCTATCTGTGTGTGTTATATATAAGTAATCCTATCTGTGTCTAATATATAAGTAATCCTTCCTGTGTGTGTTATATATAAGTAATCCTTCCTGTGTGTGTTATATATAAGTAATCCTATCTGTGTGTTATATATAAGTAATCCTATCTGTGTGTTATATATAAGTAATCCTATCTGTATGTTGTATATAAGTAATCCTATCTGTGTGTGTTATATATAAGTAATCCTATCTGTGTGTGTTATATATAAGTAATCCTATCTGTGTGTGTTATATATAAGTAATCCTATCTGTGTGTGTTATATATAAGTAATCCAATCTGTGTGTGTTATATATAAGTAATCGTATCTATGTGTGTTATATATAAGTAATCCTATCTGTGTGTGTTATATATAAGTAATCCTATCTGTGTGTGTTATATATAAGTAATCCTATCTGTGTGTGTTATATATAAGTAATCCTATCTGTGTGTTATGTATAAGTAATCCTATCTGTGTGTTATATATAAGTAATCCTATCTGTGTGTGTTATATATAAGTAATCCTATCTGTGTGTTATATATAAGTGTGTGTTATATATAAGTAATCCTATCTGTGTGTGTTATATATATGTAATCCTATCTGTGTGTGTTATATATAAGTAATCCTTCCTGTGTGTGTTATATATAAGTAATCCTATCTGTGTGTGTTATATATAAGTAATCCTATCTGTGTGTTATATATAAGTAATCCTATCTGTGTGTGTTATATATAAGTAATCCTATCTGTGTGTGTTATATATAAGTAATCCTATCTGTGTGTGTTATATACAAGTAATCCTATCTGTGTGTTATATAAGTAATCCTATCTGTGTGTGTTATATATAAGTAATCCTATCTGTGTGTGTTATATATAAGTAATCCTATCTGTGTGTTATATATAAGTAATCCTATCTGTGTGTGTTATATATAAGTAATCCTATTTGTGTGTGTTATATATAAGTAATCCTATCTGTGTGTGTTATATATAAGTAATCCTATCTGTGTGTCTTATATATAAGTAATCCTATCTGTGTGTGTTATATATAAGTAATCCTATCTGTGTGTGTTATATATAAGTAATCCTATCTGTGTGTGTTATATATAAGTAATCATATCTGTGTGTGTTATATATAAGTAATCCTATCTGTGTGTGTTATATATAAGTTATCCTATCTGTGTGTGTTATATATAAGTAATCCTATCTGTGTGTCTTATATATAAGTAATCCTATCTGTGTGTGTTATATATAAGTAATCCTATCTGTGTGTGTTATATATAAGTAATCATATCTGTGTGTGTTATATATAAGTAATCCTATCTGTGTGTGTTATATATAAGTAATCCTATCTGTGTGTTATATATAAGTAATCCTATCTGTGTGTGTTATATATAAGTAATCCTATCTGTGTGTGTTATATATAAGTAATCCTATCTGTGTGTGTTATATATAAGTAATCCTATCTGTGTGTTATATATAAGTAATCCAATCTGTGTGTGTTATATATAAGTAATCCTATCTGTGTGTGTTATATATAAGTAATCCTATCTGTGTGTGTTATATATAAGTAATCCTATCTGTGTGTGTTATATATAAGTAATCCTATCTGTGTGTGTTATATACAAGTAATCCTATCTGTGTGTGTTATATATAAGTAATCCTATCTGTGTGTGTTATATATAAGTAATCCTATCTGTGTGTGTTATATATAAGTAATCCTATCTGTGTGTGTTATATATAAGTAATCCTATCTGTGTGTTATATATAAGTAATCCTATCTGTGTGTGTTATATATAAGTAATCCTATCTGTGTGTGTTATATATAAGTAATCCTATCTGTGTGTTATATATAAGTAATCCTATCTGTGTGTGTTATATATAAGTAATCCTATCTGTGTGTGTTATATATAAGTAATCCTATTTGTGTGTGTTATATATAAGTAATCCTATCTGTGTGTGTTATATATAAGTAATCCTATCTGTGTGTGTTATATATAAGTAATCCTATCTGTGTGTGTTATATATAAGTAATCCTATCTGTGTGTTATATATAAGTAATCCTATCTGTGTGTGTTATATATAAGTAATCCTATCTGTCTGTGTTATATATAAGCAATCCTATCTGTGTGTGTTATATATAAGTAATCCTATCTGTGTGTGTTATATATAAGTAATCATATCTGTGTGTGTTATATATAAGTAATCCTATCTGTGTGTGTTATATATAAGTTATCCTATCTGTGTGTTATATGTAAGTAATCATATCTGTGTGTGTTATATATAAGTAATCCTATCTGTGTGTTATATATAAGTAATCCTATCTGTGTGTGTTATATATAAGTAATCCTATCTGTGTGTTATATATAAGTAATCCTATCTGTGTGTGTTATATATAAGTAATCCTATCTGTGTGTTATATATAAGTAATCCAATCTGTGTGTGTTATATATAAGTAATCCTATCTGTGTGTGTCATATATAAGTAATCCTATCTGTGTGTGTTATATATAAGTAATCCTATCTGTGTGTGTTATATATAAGTAATCCAATCTGTGTGTTATATATAAGTAATCCTATCTGTGTGTGATATATATAAGTTATCCTATCTGTGTGTGTTATATATAAGTAATCCTATCTGTGTGTGTTATATATAAGTAATCCTATCTGTGTGTGTTATATGTAAGTAATCCTATCTGTGTGTTATATATAAGTAATCCTATCTGTGTGTGTTATATATAAGTAATCCTATCTGTGTGTGTTATATATAAGTAATCCTATCTGTGTGTTATATATAAGTAATCCTATCTGTGTGTGTTATATATAAGTAATCCTATCTGTGTGTGTTATATATAAGTAATCCTATTTGTGTGTGTTATATATAAGTAATCCTATCTGTGTGTGTTATATATAAGTAATCCTATCTGTGTGTGTTATATATAAGTAATCCTATCTGTGTGTGTTATATATAAGTAATCCTATCTGTGTGTTATATATAAGTAATCCTATCTGTGTGTGTTATATATAAGTAATCCTATCTGTGTGTGTTATATATAAGTAATCCTATCTGTGTGTGTTATATAAGTAATCCTATCTGTGTGTGTTATATATAAGTAATCCTATCTGTGTGTGTTATATATAAGTAATCCTATCTGTGTGTGTTATATATAAGTTATATATATGTAAGTAATCCTATCTGTGTGTGTTATATATAAGTAATCCTATCTGTGTGTGTTATATATAAGTAATCCTATCTGTGTGTGTTATATATAAGTAATCCTATCTGTGTGTGTTATATATAAGTAATCCTATCTGTGTGTGTTATATATAAGTAATCCTATCTGTGTGTGTTATATATAAGTAATCCTATCTGTGTGTTATATATAAGTAATCCTATCTGTGTGTGTTATATATAAGTAATCCTATCTGTGTGTGTTATATATAAGTAATCCTATATGTGTGTGTTATATATAAGTAATCCTATCTGTGTGTTATATATAAGTAATCCTATCTGTGTGTATTATATATAAGTAATCCTATCTGTGTGTGTTATATATAAGTAATCCTATCTGTGTGTTATATATAAGTAATCCTATCTGTGTGTGTTATATATAAGTAATCCTATCTGTGTGTGTTATATATAAGTAATCCTTCCTGTGTGTGTTATATATAAGTAATCCTATCTGTGTGTTATATATAAGTAATCCTATCTGTGTGTGTTATATGTAAGTAATCCTATCTGTGTGTTAAATATAAGTAATCCTATCTGTGTGTTATATATAAGTAATCCTATCTGTGTGTGTTATATATAAGTAATCCTACTTGTGTGTGTTATATATAAGTAATCCTATCTGTGTGTGTTATATATAAGTTATCCTATCTGTGTGTGTTATATGTAAGTAATCCTATCTGTGTGTTATATATAAGTAATCCTATCTGTGTGTGTTATATATAAGTAATCCTACCTGTGTGTGTTATATATAAGTAATCCTATCTGTGTGTGTTATATATAAGTAATCCTATCTGTGTGTGTTATATATAAGTAATCCTATCTGTGTGTGTTATATATAAGTAATCCTATCTGTGTGTTATATATAAGTAATCCTATTTGTGTGTTATATATAAGTAATCCTATCTGTGTGTGTTATATATAAGTAATCCTATCTGTGTGTGTTATATATAAGTTATCCTACCTGAGTGCTGTACTTCCCGATCCAGAAGTGGACATCATACAACAACTCATCACTACTGTCATCCTTGTAGGTCTAAAAAGAAATCTAGAGTCACTATTACAAGGGTCATTACATTACAGGGGTTATTACAATAACAGTATCAAAATCAAAGGTTATTACATTACAGGGGTTATTACAATAACAGTATTAAAATCAAAGGTTATTACAATACAGGGTTTATTACAACAACAGTATGTAAATCAGGGATTATAATATTGCAGGGGTTATTACAATGACAGTTTATAATTAATGTTCATTACATTACAAGGGTCATTACAATAACATAATATAAATCAAAGATCATTCCATAACAAGGGTTATTACATTTCAGGAGTCATTACAATAACAGTATATAAATCCAAAGTTATTACATTTAAGTTGTCATAACAATAACAGTATATAAATCAGGGATTATTACATTACAGGGGTTATTACAATAACTGTATATAAATCAGGGATCATTACATTGCAGGGGTTATTACAATAACAGTATATAGATTTTTACATAAATAGAAAATAAATCAAGGGTAATTACATTATAGGGGTCATTACATCACATGTAACATTACATTACAGGATCATAAAAATAACAGAACACAAAATGAAATCAAGGTTCATTACATTACACTGAAGTAGATAACCATTCATTCTATAAAGAAATACTCACGTTTAATACAATGTAAGAATCTCCATTGTAAAATTTCCCATAATCCTCTTTGGGCCAGGATGTCACCTTGAATTTCTAAAATAAATAAATAATTTCAAAAATCTAGTTATTTCTGATCCAGTTGAAATAGTCATTATTGTCTATTGAAAAACACACATACGAAGTACCAGGAATGTTTACTTCTGAATCATTCCAAATGAAATTCATTAAATAATAATACTTGATAATTTTAATATATGTTTTAAACTAACAGGGAATGAAAAATCAGTTTGTTATCCCATTAAAGCATGATTGCTATAACCATAAAATTTTACAAAATTATAAGCCCAAACAAGACATATTACATGTAACAACAACACAACAAAACCAACAACAACAAAGCAGCTGTCATCAACACAACAGCTCAACAAAACCAACAACAACAAATCAGCTGTCATCAACACAACAAAACCAACAACAAACCAGCTGTCAACAACACAACAGCACAACAAAACCAAAAACAACAAAACAGCTGTCATCAACACAACAGCACAACAAAACCAACAACAACAAACCAGCTTCAACAACACAACAAAACCAACAACAACAAACCAGCTGCCATCAACACAACCAAATCAACAACAACAAACAGCTGTCATAAACACAACAAAACCAATAACAAACCAGCTGTCAACAACACAATAGCACAACAAAACCAACAACAAAAAACAGCTGTCAACAACACAACAAAACCAACAACAACAAACCAGCTGTCATCAACACAACAGAACAAAACCAACAACAACAAACCAACTGTCAACAACACAACAAAATCAACAACAAACAGCTGTCATAAACACTACAAAACCAACAACAAACAGCTGTCATAAACACAACAAAACCAACAAACCACCTGTCATCAACACAACAAAACCAACAACAACAAAACACTGTCATCAACACAACAGCTGTCATAAACACTACAAAACCAACAACAAACAGCTGTCATAAACACAACAAAACCAACAACAAACAGCTGTCATAAACACAACAAAACCAACAACAAAACAGCTGTCATCAACACAACAACACCAACAACTTAACAAGAGTCAACAACACAACAAAACCAACAACAACACAACAGCTGTCATCAACACAACCAACCAATCCCTCAGCCAAAAAATTTTCATAATAAAAGTAAAATAATTGAATTTTGTTTGTATTCTAGTCTCTGATTGATCAAAAGCCAAAGAGGAACAAAGACAATTTCTGTATAACCTGGTTTGGTAATCCCCCTCCTTGAACAACCAACTGAATTATCTTTATCTAAACAATCCTCTCATTTTTCAGTCTTCAGAATTCATGCTAAAATTTCAGATTTACTAAATGTACCATGAAACCTCCAACAGTAACTCAGTCTTACCACATGTATAACAAATAACCTGGCTGCTTGGTCTCTGTTTCAGTTTATACTCCCCTCAAGTTCAACACTGGTTATAGATCTACTTTAACATGTTTAACAGGTACATTAAACTACATTATACAATTACTGCTGTTTGTGAGGTCAATACGTTGATATATTATACTTTCATGTAAATTAGTTGAATCTGATTGGTCGAGAAACATTTGCTAAAAAACACTATTACCCACTGAATAATGAAGCCACGCCCTCCAGCGTAGCAACAGTCAACATTGCTTGACGACGGGTGGTATTACAAAAAATAGCGACTGCGCAGAATTTATGCGCGCACGGTTCACTGTTATATGTATTTGTATAAAACATTCAGTATAATATAATAAATATTGCATGTAGTTGAGTGTAACATTGAAAATTTTCACCCCTCATTGTCAACCTCGGCTGCGCCTCGGTTGACAATAGTTTTCTTGGGGTGAAAACATTCAATGTTACACTCAACTACATGCAATATTTATATATTAAACACCTGTTTAATATCACTAAAGGGTGATTGAATACTGTACTTCAAAGGTGGCTAAAAAATCATCATATTGACTGCAATTAACAACAATAACTGTTTTATTAAATGATTAAATGATAGCAAACTCAGTTATCTTCAGTAATCGAAGATTCAGGTATATGTAGTTTTTGCCCTGTATGTCTTTCTGTCTTCAAGAACTTTAATTATGCCAATAACTTTTCAGTGGGTAGAACTATGGCATTCATATCTTTCTTTGCAATGGGCATCACAAATTTTGACTATTACCATAACTTTTGAACAGGTGGTGATAAAACCTTGTATATAGTACATATACTGACCACAATCCTCCAGATTTGGAGTCCTGCTTTCTGTCCGATTCCTTTCCAGGCTGGTTCTGATTCTGCAGACTCCTCTACAACAAAAAATAACATGTACAGACAAAGATAGCAACATGCACACACAAATAAAAATAACAACACGTACACACAAACAAAAATAACAACATGTATACACAAACAAAAATAACAACATGTACACACAAATAAAAATAACAACATGTACACACAAACAAAAATAACAACATGTACAGACAAACAAAAATAACAACATGTACACACAAATAAAAATAACAACATGTACAGACAAACAAATATAACAATATATACACACAAACAAAAATAACAACATGTACAGACAAACAAAAATAACAACATGTACAGACAAACAAAAATAACAACATGTACAGACAAACAAAACAAACAACATGTACAGACAAACACACATAAAATCAGTGTATTGTAAATTACAAAAAATTACTTTTGACTTCTTTCTGTATAGTGTATAATACATACTTTTTATCTATTTCTCTATATAGCATATAATACATACTTTTTATCTATTTCTCTATATAGCATATAATACATACTTTTTATCTATTTCTCTATATATAGCATATTATACATACTTTTTATCTATTTCTCTATATATATAGCATATAATACATATATATATAGCATATAATACATACTTTTTATCTATTTCTCTATATATACTTTTGACCTATTTCTGGCTATAATACTTTTGATACTTATTACATACTTTTGACTTGTTTCTCTGTACAGTATATAGTATCTACCTTTTTCTATTTATACATACTTTTGCATATATATACACTTTTGACTTTTATATAGTACCTACTTTTGACCTGTACAGTATATAATACCTACTTTTGACCTGTTTCTCTGTATAGTATATAATACATACTTTTGACCTGTTTCTCTGTATAGTATATAATACCTACTTCTGACCTGTTTTTTGGTATAGTGTATAATACCTACTTTTGACCTCTATGCATTGTATATAGTACCTACTTTTGACCTGTACAGTATATAATACCTACTTTTGACCTGTTTCTCTGTATAGTATATAATACCTACTTTTGACCTGTTTCTCTGTACAGTATATAATACATACTTTTGACCTGTTTCTCTGTACAGTATATAATACATACTTTTGACCTGTTTCTCTGTATAGTATATAATACCTACTTTTGACCTGTTTCTCTGTACAGTATATAATACATACTTTTGACCTGTTTCTCTGTACAGTATATAATACCTACTTTTGACCTGTTTTTCGGTATAGTGTATAATACCTACTTTTGACCTCTATGTATAGTATATACGCAGCACTGTTAAGGCCTACTATGAGAAATCAACGGAAAACAGACGAGCAAAAAAGGGGTATTTTTTAAAATTGAATTTATTTTAATTAAGTTGTTTTATTATCACAGAACTTTAATACTTATGGAAATAGCATAGTATAACCTACTCTGTATTGTATGAAGTTTAGTCCCATCGATGGACAATTACGTGATGAATGCATAGTTCGTGTACTTAATGTAGGTCATTAGCAAATTTCAATATCGCAACGGCATACCCTAGTTGAAATTAAAAATTCAAGCTATTAATTGTTTCTGCATACCTTGTAGTTTCTGAAAAGTGCTGCTGCTTTGAATAGAATTTGCGTTTTAATAGTTAAATTTTCAAGTAAATAAGCCAATGTCGAAATATGTTTGACTTTTACCAAATAATTTGTGTACTTATAAAATCACGCCTTCGATTTAAAGAAAGCAGCAGCACTTTTCAAGTTAAGGAAAATATCCTTTATCTGTATTTCAAAAAATCGTTCAGATCTATGCAGTGTATGCCCTTGCGAAAAGTACAATTTTATGAGGCATCTCGATGTAAAATATACGTAACCTGTACATATAAACACAACATAATTTATAAAATACATTCTCTTGGTAGTTAATTAATAATTGCACTAAACAAAGGATATACATCGGTATTTATCGACTATTTAAAACCTGTAAATAATATTCCCTTTAATAATAAAACGCATTTTCCATTGATAAAAAATTCCTCAATCTGCCTCTCACAGCACATGAAATGCGTCATTTTTACCAATATGACGTCATGTTTACAAGTTCATCGCGATCAGTGCTTTGTTTAAAACCAGCTACATGGGATTTAACAAGCAACTTCTTTTAATGCATCGATAAGTTATATTGTTGTTTATTATGCTAATACAGTTAAAAGTTGAAAATTATTTCATTTTCAGGTATGATGAGAAATACATAAAAGTCATTTTTTCGTGTGATGTCACAGTAAACTTTTCCCGTATAAATTAGGCCCCGCCCCCTTTTTCAAGCCTTAACAATGCTGCGTAGTACATACTTTTGACCTGTACAGTATATAGTACATACTTTTGACCTGTTTCTCTGTATAGTATATAATACCTACTTTTGACCTGTTTTTCAGTATAGTGTGTAATACCTACTTTTGACCTCTATGTATAGTATATAGTACATGCTTTTGACCTGTTTCTCTGTACAGTATATAGTACCTACTTTTGACCTGTACAGTATATAGTACCTACTTTTGACCTGTTTTTCGGTATCGGATCCAAACAAAGCTAGATTGCTGTCCTTCCAGTCATACTGCTTGGCTTTGGTTAGACCTATAATAAAGAAGAAATCAATGTACTGAAAGTACTGGTAAGACCTACAATAATAAAAAATCAAAGACATTAGATTTACAATGTAGAATTGAACTACATTATAAAGGAAAAAAGAAAACTTTTAAGAATTCGCTGTTACACAATAATATTAGACACTGATCACTCATGTGAATTAACTAACATAAAATGGTACTGTTCAAATTGCTTTTTAAAAATTTTTTTAGGGTTGTTTCAATTAGTTTTTCGAAGGTCTTTAAAGCTATGATGTATAAAATGATGGATACACAATGAAAGGTTTGTATGTGACAACACGTTTACAACCTATTATAGCTTTTATGATAGGAAATACCTCCTTGATCAGAATTTGTATAAGGACATATATAAATTGAGGAAGTATATTTGAGGGCTATTTGAAAGTTTAAACAAATTAGACATGCTATATTCATGCATATTACACACAGAAATAGAAAGTTTATGTATGTGTTCAGTATTTTGCTGACTATATACAAATATGACAGGAGAAGCCATACCTATACTGATATAACTAATCATGGCCCTGCCATTAATGATAATTTTTTTTTTAAATCAAATATTGTTTTTCCATTTATATGTCTTATTCCAAGTAATATTATATGAAAGTTTTATATGAAATAATTTGTTCCTGGATTGAGGATCAAATCTATTAAGAAAATTATAAACTTGAATGGACATCTATTCACAAAATCTAACCCAAAGCATTAGTCTAGATGTTATTTTGGCCAATTTGGGGTTTCCATTAAGATGCCCCGTGTTATGGAGTACAGCAATTCCTGACTCAGCATAAAATTAATCAGTTCCGGATTTGTTCTGCCGTTCAGTCCTCTTGAATTTCATGACTACATTTCCTTCTGTATACAACTACATCATCATGTAGATGTTTTCAGTCACCGTCCTTAGCTAAGGCTTGTAACACAGACAGCTATTAGTACCCCAGGAGTTCACAATTACTTCAGGCACATCAAGTCTCAATGTATCAAGATATGTTAAATTTCAAATCTCTCAGACTTGTGATATTCACAATGGTGTGAGAAAAATTCAAAACATAAGTGATTATGTTTCTTATCAATTTAAAGGAACAATTTTTGAATATCAGTTAATATAATTACAGCAAACATTTATGATTATTTTTAAGGAATCGGTCACATTTTAGTTAGTAGGGTATGCCAGGGCATCAACAGGAGTTGGAAACATTGGATAATTTATGCATGTGAAGCCTGTTATGCATAAATTATCCCACGCTTCCAGCTAACGTTGATGCCCTGGCAGCCTCTACTAACTAGATCATGTAGATAGTGATTCCTTATATTTCCATTTCATTGTGAAATATTATTGTAGATTTTTAAAATGTAGACTAATAGACTTAAATTACACCAATTTCAGTAGTCCTTTTCCATCGAAGTCCGACACAGACAAATGCACAAGATTTACGAGCATTTTAGGTCTTCTTCATGTTCTTAGCTCCTGACCTTTCATTTGGTGAAATTTACATCCCAGTTGAATTATCAAGAAATCAATTCAATGACATCTAACTTTGAAAGAGGTATCACAGAGAAAATAAATAGAAATGGAAATATTTCATGCATCTGCAGTGTTTCATTGAAATTCTAATGTTTGTATTTGAACCAGGTATAATACTCCAAAAAACCTCCCTTGAAAAGGAAAAATCTATTTCCTCAACTTTATTATTTTATGTCATCCTATCTTACTAGTAATATTATGTTAAATCATGATAAAAGATGATAAATGTCTTATGTGACATTGTGAAGTGTATTTTATAAGTAGACTTAATCTATCTCTTTCCTGATAGAGGATGGCCGCGTATCCTTTTAGAGTGAGGCGTATTTGCTGATAAAGTTGATAAAGTCATTACATCTCTTAAAAACCTTTTATATTTATATTGTATTACTTCCTTTTTGACTAAACAACTTCAGACAAGATATTGTTTATATGCCCCCCCCCCAAAAAAAAAAATAATTGCTACAAAATGTGTATTAATTTGCATTTTATCAACTTCGAAAATAATATATATCTTTCTTAAAAATATATTAATTTTTTTAAATCAGTTCACAAATTACATATTTATGAGATTTTTTTAACAAAGCTAACAGAATCATGTCCCGTGTTTTCCCTAAGCCAAATTGACCACTTCCACTGACAAAAATACAGCTTTGAAATAAAAATTTGTTGTTAGGTCCACAGAGATTCTGTTCATAAACCTCAGCCCCTAGCCTGTTACAACTGACCTCTAACCCTTTTCTTTGAAATATAGGGAAAACACTGCATGTCAAATGTAAACTCACAAAAAAATGCTGAATCATGTCAAATATAAACTAACAAAAATCTCCTTGTAGAGGTCTCTTATTCACAGGAAATCTCTAACGACAATTTATTACTTTCCTTGTATTACAGATACTGCAAATTATCTCGATTCACCCTGCATCACATTAACACATTTAACATTTGTAATGATGTTATGAGAATAATATAAAGCTAACATAGAATTCTATGTTCAATCAATAGAGTTAGAATAACTTGGAAAACATGTATAAAAAAATCAAGACTGAAGAAAAAGAAGTGAAGGAGAGAGAAAACAGATCACTCAATTAAACACCATTTTTAGTAAGTTTTTATAATCTTACACAAGATAAAACAGAGATGAATTGAACTGTACAAACCTGACATGTTGAGTGTTGACCACCGCCTGATTACAAATCGTCACTTCACGACAAACAGGAAGTGTAACTCTCTATATACACCCTGATAGGACAGGAACTGAAATGTACAAACATCGTACATCAGGCCACAAGAAGTAATTATTTGTTTCACTGATCCATTCTGCAAACAATTATTCATTAGCTTCGCTAATAATTATATGTAGATACAGGAAAGGAAGGCAATAAAATAAATGGGTTTTACAGCTATCACCTCCTGGCAAAATTGGCACTCCATACTTCATACTAACATGAACTCTCTATATAAAGCTTTGCTTCCTCCTTTATTCATTTTTTCTCTCCTTTTCAATTCCTTTCTTTCCTTCTCTCTCTCTCCCTCACTCCCTCCCCCCCCCCCCCACCACTTTTCTCAAACAAAAATGAATACTACTATGATAAGATTATCATAATTATTAATTTCATATGCTAATGGTTGTATTAAAACATTGTTTTTTTCAATTTCTTTTTTTTTTAAATGCTGTCAACTCTACATTTTTGATTTCTCCTTTTTTGTAAACGTCCATTGCCCTTTAAATCATTTAAATTGCATTAAAAACATATTGTCATGGCAACTATTAAATATTCTTTATTTTATTTTTAATTATGTGTAACTGTAAACTACATAATCATGTAAATTAAATTAGATGTATCCGTGGCCTATGCCTTGAATTTATAGGATGATTAAGAAAGTGGCTTGTCATTTATTAAATATATCCCAATATATATGTCTTTGTTTAAAATAAGCCAAACTTCCTTAGGGAAGAACTATTATAAAACACTTTCAAATCATGGCTTGTGTATACAGATAAAGCTTCCCATGTTTAAAATAGAATTTCCTTTGTACTTTCCACTGTACATGTACGCATTGTGTTTCAGGGTCCACAAACATAAGGAGTTACCAATCAAAGTCCTGAAGGGCCTGAAAGTCAACTGAAAGTCAACTCGCTCATCCACGAACACAACTCATATTTACCAGTCAAAGGCCTAAAGGGCCTGAGAGTCGACTCGCTCATCCACGAACACAAGAAGTTACCAATCAAAGGCCTGAAGGGCCTGAGAGTTGACTCGCTCATCCACGAACGCAATCATATTTACCAATCAAAGGCCTGAAGGGCCTGATAGTGGACTCGATCATCCACGAACACAAGGAGTGATTTGTTACTCTTATGAACTAATCAAAGGCCTGAAGGGCCTGAGAGTTGACTCACTTACGTAAGAACATGAGGAGTGATTGTTACTCATATGAACCAAAAAGTGCAAAAAATTATGGCTGGAACAGAAATCTAACCCACAACCAAATACCCAGGTGCTCTAATTCTCTTGGTATTAATATTATAAAACCAATTCACTCCTCCCTCTTTAGATCGTGTTTGCACTCCAAGACACAACCCAAATTCTTTAGCCCTGGCAAAATGCTCATGTGCAGGTCCAAGGGGTGGTCAATGTCCAATGGATTATAAAACAGAAAAAGAGGCAATGTATGACTAGACAAGGAATCAAACCTAGAACCATATAGTTAGGCCCTCTGCCACTTAACCTATCTGAGACAATCAAACCCTGGATTCCTGCAGCCAGCCCTTCTACCATCTGACCTATCTGAGACAATGTATGACTTGACAAGGAATCAAACCCGGAACCCTGTAGTCAGGCCCTCTACCACTTGACCTATCTGGGACAATGTTTGACTGGACAAAGAATCAAACCCAGGACTCCTGCAGCCAGCCCTTCTACCATCTGACCAATCTAAGACAATGCATGACTGGACAAGGATTCAAACCTGGACCCCTGCAATCAGGCCCTCTACCATCTGACCTATCCAGGTGGATATTTACAACTCAGACCACTACACCCCAAGTTTTCATTTTTTAATACCTCTCCCCTAAACTCAATCTCATAGTATTCTAATTCAGTATCCCTTAAAAACTGCATCATGACAACACACAAATACAAAGTTCAACTATCAGATACCCTTGGTTGGGAATGTCTTAGACATTTTAGTCTGAGTGTATAACTTGCTTATGCCTTTAACACCTAATAATATTGTAAACCACATTTTTGTCATGTGCCACAAATATCAACAAGTTTCATGAACTTCTTTTAACTTGCAACTATTTATCACAGCTAATAAATTATTTATTTCTCTTAGCATTTGTACAGAATATTTTCTCAGATTGGATTGATTTCAAACTGACAAATCACGGAAAAAAGATGATGATTGTGAACAAGCATTCTGAGAGTATTGCATAAGCAATACATGTCCCCTACCGGGTTCCCCTTTTTTTCAGGATGTCATTTTATAATAAGCAAAAGTCATGTCCAAGGTAAAACTGAAAGATTTTCAAGTTGTAAATGCCTTAAAACTAATAAAATAATCCACATTAAGATGAAAATTCAACTTATTTCTCCACCGTCTTTTCCTCCCTTCATATTTTTGTCGACAATCAGAAGTTAGCGCAGTTCGAACCAGATCTTAATTAAGGGATTATGAAAAATATTCAAAATGCTTAAATTCTGTCAAAAATCAATGAAGCGAAGCGAAATTCAAACTTGATCTGTAACTCATTAAGATACACTCACATACCAAAATTCAGCTCAATATCAGCAACCGTTTAGAAAAAAAGTGCGGAAAACCAAGTGGGACAGACTGACAGACAGACGGGAACGGGTTTCACCGGTAGGGGACTAATAAAGGAAAACATGGTTCATTAAATCCATTCATTTAAAAACACATTTTGAAATTAAAGGGATTCTGAATTAAAACTTCTTTGTAAGCATAAATTCAATTAAGCGTGTTTGCTTTCAACATGTTTTACTGTATTTATGTCTGTACAAATAATCATTTCAAAAAGCTTTTTTTTATTGTTTGCAGATTCTGTCCTTGATTTTCATGAAAAAAGTGAACCCATGCATGTGCACTTACTGTAAACCTGTATACCTATAATATGGACAGTCATTGTACTTTATCAAAACATGAGCCGTTCACTGACTTTAAAATTATAAAAAAAATATTTCCACATATGAACAGCTGTTGAATTTCAATAATTTATCTATTTGATTAAATGTTTCATGTGCCAAACACTTATAGATCAATGTTATCATACATATATTTTTATATAGATCTGAATGTGGTGCATCTGTTACAAAGCTTTAGAAGCTACTCATTATATTAAAACTTCAGTAATTTATAAAGGATGTGGAGAGAAAAATGTTTATCACTGCGACAAAGATTTCAATAACCCCCATTAAAAATCAGATTTTGTAAATTAGCACTTATGATTAATATTTATTATAATGTAATGACCTTAAAAAAAAATTATTGTTTGTAATGATATAGTCTATATCATTTGATCATATTTTGTCTAAAAAGTTTCGCGTCATTTGTCAGGTCATTGCTTTTTATTATACAGACTACACTCTGCCTTCCTGATCAATTACAGGGCATATACCGTGACATGAATAATGGGATGACGTAAAATATTACAAAGTAATCGTTTTATCTTAACTCACATAACTGAGTACTCTGTATATACGAAAACAATAAAATAAAAATAAATAAAGGTGGATCGGGAAGAAAGTGTATAATTGTTTAATTTATTTATTTTTTATGTGTTTACATTTAAATGTTAAATAAATTTTTAAAATAACAATTGATTTATTAATATTTCGTTAATGTGACCTTTGCCCTTTCTGCAATGTTTACGGATGGTCAGGACATCCCAAAACGTACCGCCGATTTTACTGAATGTTTACAGAAAATTTGCGGGTGCAGTATATTTATGGAGATGGATTTTTCGACTGCAGGTTGTTTCTGCAAAGTTTACAGATGTGGTAACTTTACAGAGGCTTTGTGAATAAGGTCGCTGGATGCTTACTCCTCCATGGCACATGAACCCACCTATTGTGCTCTCAGAGGTTCACGATTCATTTTGTTTAGTGGATCTATTATCTTGATCATCATTTTCTTTAACTTCACCATTTACAAAGGAAAAAAAAACTCCCACATATATACATGGCTGTAGGAATTAACCTCCAATAATTCTGCCAGTATATAAAATACTATAGAAAACTTAGCTACTAATTTAATACTATATGACCCTCAATGAAAAAGTCTGATGACCCCTTTTTTTCTTAGAAATTTTGGTAGTTGATAGTGCCCCCCAACTGAAAATGTTTGGCTGTGCTCACCCTACCCCCTAATTAAAATTAACTATTCCTACGGACCTGACATGTATGGTAAAACTTGTCAATAGCCTGGACCTACCTCAGTTCATTCTTATCCGCCCTGAGGAATATACACTGAAGCTGTCCAAATTTTTAATAAAGTTTTACAAGAAAATTATTGAAAATTGAAAAAAAAATAATATGAAAAAATCCAACTTTACCATCTATTTCAAGCTATATATCAAAATCGAGGGATGTCTACACGATAATAGAGGAAATTCGAAACAAAAACACTCCCATCTTTAGAACTGTTATCATGGCTAATACACTCATGACAACACACTTAACACATTACTTATTTACCACAATTAAAGTTACATTAACAAACTATTACAAAGTACCTCCAAAGTTTCTGCGGTGCAGAACTCCTCTCGGTTTTCACTGAATAGGCTCCAAGAAGGCGTACGTTAATGCGAAATTCATTCAAGAGTGCGGGAAAAATTCAATGGTTGGACTGTTCCATTATCAAATGAGGGGTGTCATTGATCCTTGATTGCTCGGACACTTTTTTAAAAGTGGTTTTCCTTGACTGAAAGTGTCAAAATGTTATGTAATTTTAGCAACTTTTAAATGTATATAAAGTAGAGTATTTATTTAAATAAATATTAATTTTACACAATCCGGAAGACAAGATTAGGGCTACAATCGCCCCCCCCCCCCTAATTATAAAAATGCACTGGTACGAATGATGTACTCCTCCCCACAATCCACACCCGGGCCTCCTGGTGTACACCTGAAAGTGTACATTTACATGTAATACACATGATTTATAGATACAAGATCATCATTTTCTATATATAATTCATTTATAACTGTCTTGCATATGACACTGATTCTCAAATTATAGTCTTTAAATAATGTACCGTGTTTTAAGTAGTATAATATTTCTAATAAATTTTATTTTCTGCCAGGCATATGAACCATTGTTGGTTGTTGATTAATTAACAACATTTGTTTGTTGTAACTTGAATGATTGTCTTAGGCGAAAATCGCATTTTATAGCAGCGATATTTACGTTACTGTCGCCGATCATCGTGTAGTTTTTATTTTAAACCAAAAAGAAGTTTTAAATCACTTACATATCTTTTTCTAAGTAAGATTGTTCTATATTTGAGTTATATTTTCTGATTATCACACCCTTCACACATATGCGTATCACAAATTTTTAAAAATTTTAATATATTTCTCAAATTTTGATGTCACCGCGAAATTATTACTTTTCTATTTGGAAATTCAAAAGGACTTGAAGGATTGCTGAACTGACTCAATAGGATTAAGTTGTAACTTTCTAACATCATGAACACCTCTTCTATTCCAATGGAATGGTAAAAAAGACACTGTTTATCTGCATTTATGAAAATTAGCCCCCCTTTTCTTATGAGTCCAATGGTTAAAAACTGCATCGATATTTACGTGTTAGTATTTATTCACAAATTAAGTAAGAGAACTACACTGTTTCCTATGGGTCAAATTAGCTGTTTGAACAGATTTGCGAGTAAATCTTAATGATTTAAAAACAAAAAACATGAAGAAATACACTGTTTCTTAAAATGACATTTTTTGTCTGTAACATAAGTGCAGAAATGCAAATGGAAGTGCACATGCAAGGGTGAACATATTTTACACAATATCTTGTGCATCTGTGTGATTTGAAAATTGAATTGACATAATATTATTTACAAGTAGAATTGTGGTTTAATGATCGAATATTTTCATTTTGAGCAATTGTTTAATATTGCATAGTTTTAAGTGTAATGCACGTTATCATTCGGAACGTAAATCTGAAACAAAACTTTCTTAAAGTTTGTATTTTGCTGTTTGTTTGTTCAAGAACTGATAGTGTATCGTCAATATAAATAATGGTTATATAAACCTAAATTGTATACCAAACTAGACATTTTGAAGAAGAAATTATCATTTTTCGTAGGAAATATAATTCCAGAAAATAGACGCTGCGCTGCATGTTGGGGGGGGGGGGGGTCTTCCACATGGGGTTAAAGAAAAAAGACGGTTGTGGCCATGGGTGTTGGGTGTCAAGAAACTGGTCGAAATTGAATCCATTTCCATTTTTGTTGATTTGCAAGAAATACGTGTATTTAATTGTGCACCTAATTTTTCCAATTTAAATTGTTGCTTAGACACAGAACTTAGAACGTATGCGTCTATACTTTAATGGTACTGAAAATTCAATTTACGTTATGTTAATGTAGAATGTACGTATATTGCTCAATTGAGCACACATATAATATGCAACTGTAATTATTAACAAACCCTTTTAAGGGTGGTGGGGGTAACTTTGTTTTGTTTTTGAGATTTGACGATAAAGTTTTCACAAGCAATTAAGCATTTGAAATAATCAACAGATAAATTGTGGAAGGGGGGGGGGGGGGGTGTCATAAATTAAATGAATCCTGTATAGATAAGTCATAACTTTAATTTTCAATGCAACCCATTGTCAAGAACACAGATAAGAAAATTCATAAAATTCAATAATTTGAAAAAAGATATTCATTTTTCCCCGAATATACTTTTATTTTTGTATGATATCTATGTGCAATATTTACGTGATATTTAACAAACACTTCGTAATCAAGTAATGGCGAAATATTTTACCTTCTGATATTTTAAAAAATGTGCGTTTCTCTGAACAGATTAATAAAGAATCAAATAATAAAGCATTTTAGGGAATATTGTCATTATTTAGCTTATCGTCAGATTTGATAAAAACTTTTTTTAAAATAAAACGAAAATAATTTCATTTAAATGAAAATTATGCCTGTGTTTTTACTAATAATTGAATCAAAGATTTCACACCCTTTTACAAATGTGCTTAAACAGTTTCATACACGTTTATTGTTAACAAAATTTGATGTGTATTATCTTAATTTTGTATTTTTCAAAAAAATTCTTTCGTTTCCACATATGGCTTTTCAACATCACGTAAATAACTTGGTGTAAAATTAGCCCTCCAACCGCATTCATTTCGAAGGAGGTCAACAAAACACAGCATGAAGTATGTAAATCAAATTGTGATTTTTAATAACTATACATCTTCATGTTTCAAATGACATAAAAAAGTGTTAGTTTCAGTTCACAAAATTTTTTGACTTTTCCCAAAGTCGATTTGGCACTATAAATTGAGAATGCGTGATGAATGATAAATATTTATTTATTTATTTATTTATTTATTTATTTATTTATTTATTTATTTATTTTAATTTTTGTATTTATTTATTCATTTATTTGTTTCACATAATGTATTTCTTTCCAGTTTCATTCATAAATTTTATATTTTTGGTTTATTTATTTATTTGATGATAATTTAGGGACAGGGCTAAAATAGGTTTTGCCTGTTGCCTAATCCAGTTCACTTTGTGAATAAAATTTTGTATAAATAAAAAAAATATATATATCTCGAATTATCACGTTACAGATTTTTTTTCTGTGTCCCATTAATTATGTTCGTGATAACGAGTTTTGACTGTATTTTTATATATTTTGTGTTCGTCATCAATTTTGTAATTTTTTCATTGCATGCTCTGCATGCCTTCTTTTTCGTCCATCCTTGATCGCAAGGACGTTAGGAAATTAAATACATTATTCTGGATTTTTCTATTTTAGCATTTTATCCTTCCTTTTTTAAAATTATTTTTTAAATAAAAAATTTTTAATCAACCGTTCTTTTCTCCCGTCACTTATTAGATATATTTCCCTCTATACATTTCCAAGAAATTCCGTTTGCACTGATAAATTATGTGGAAGAAAATTCATGTTTTTAAAATATTATTTCTACCATAGACAGCTTTAGGTCTATGTTTCTACTTTATAACTACATGTAGCTACGTACATTAAACTAGAGGTACTGTGAGCAATGAGCTCACTAAATGACACCCCCCCCCCCTGCTTCTATATGAATAAAATGGCAGTGTCCATGTTTTGTTGTGGGAAATCCAACATATGTGTCAGCAAATGAAAAAGGAGTTGTACAATGGCAATATGTAATAAAGATTCTATGAAAGTTTCATCAAATTTCATTCAATGGTGCGAGAGGAGTTGTGGATAAGGGATGCGTTCCCCGACAGCCAGACGGACGGACAATTTAATGAAATTTTCACAGAATCTTTATTACATATTGCCATTGTTCACCTCTAATTTTACTTTTTGATCTGACATATATTTTGAATTTTCCAGAGTTACTTCTCTTTGACAATGCATTTATTAATCAAACTAGGTAACAGTCTTGAGTAATCTCTCCTGTGTAGAGTTATCTTCTCTATCATGTCGAGTTATTTCTCTTGTGTACAGTACAGAGGAAGTTTGTTGCTGCCCTACACAACACAGGGTGTAAAGGAAGATGATGATGACAGTCTTAACTAGAATTCTCTTACATAGATTTTTTCCTCGTGAGTATAAAGACATCTCTGTTGTGTAGAATTATTTCATTTTGATCTGAATTGTGGTTTTGTAAATATAGAGACAGTTCGTGAACTTTTTGAGCACCTCTCGTGTGTAGAGTTATCCCTCTTATGTAGCGTTATCTCTCGTATGCAAAAATAATCTCTCATATGTAGAGTTATATGATCTATATAATGTCGGGTTATATGTCATTTATTTATTTGTTTGCTAGTTATTTAAACAATAAATTTTCTTTGGAAATTAAAATTGGTGGCAAAAATTGTTGAAAATTTTAACCCGCGTAAGCGGGTTATGTAAAAACTTTTCTGGGGTATAGCTTTGCTATGCAGTAATAACAAAGAAAAAGATACTTTATTGTTTATATTTATATCTTTTAAATAATCAATTACATTTTAAAAGATTAATTAATAATAATCGATAATTCGTCTTTGTACGTTTCAATGATGGAACAGCCACTGATTAAGAAATATGTACAGGCGACATGCCTACTGTAGTAAGTTTATGCAGTGACGAACGCAATGGGGTTTCGTTAGAAATAAAGGAGAAAATATTTGAATATTATTTAATTAAACCCTCTCAAGAATTATTTCACTCATATGGAAACGCCACTTTAATGTTTAGTTTGTTTATTTGATGTATAGCATACCTCTTTAAAATTTTTAATTCATATGGAAACCCCACCACTTGCCGGGAGATAGATGCAAATTTTGTCCTATACACGGCACTCAGGACCATTTGAGCATGGAGTTATCTTTTTCTTCTGTGACTGTGACACAGGACCTCAGTTCATACAGTTACGCTTTATCTCAAGATTATCCGCAACTCCTCTTATACTACTGAGTGAAATTCAATAAAACTTTCACAGAATCTTTATTACATATTTCCATTGTGACCTCCTATTTTACTTTTTTATTCGACGCGTATTTTAGGTTTCCCATAGCAAAACATGGACATTTCCATTATATGTTTACCATATAAGTCACAGTAAGGTCTCAAGGTCATTGATCTTGGATAACATTTTAATTAATGGACGAGTTAAATTCCTCTTTCCATGCAAATTATTGTAAAACAATATATAGCAACACATGGACATTATTGAGGCTTGATGTCATTAAAGTGAGCTTAATTGCTGACAGTACTGTTAAATAGTTTTCTCTATCATATCGAGTTATTTCTCTTGTGTACAGTACAGAGGAAGTTTGTTGCTGCCCTACAAACCACAGGGTATAAAGGAAGATGATGATGATGATGATGACAGTTTTAATTAGAATTCTCTTACATAGATTTTTTCCTCGTGAGTAAAGACATCTCTGTTGTGTAGAATTATTTAATTTTGATCTGAATTGATTTGTGGTTTTGTATTCAAAAGTTACAGCGAAGATAAAGTTCGTGATTTTTTGTTACCTCTCAGTCAAGGTCACAAGTTATCCCTCTTATGTAGAGTTATCTCTCGTATGCAAAAATAATCTCTCATATGTTGAGCTATATCTGCAATCTCCGGTTATTTGTCATTTATTCATTTGTTTGCTTGTTGTTTAACGTCCCTCTCGAGAATGTTTCACTCATATGAAAACGCCACCACTTGCCGGGAGAGAGATGCAAATTTTGTCCTATACACGGCACTCAGGGCCATTTGAGCATGGAGTAATCTTTTTCTTGCCAGCACCTACTGTGACACAGGACCTCGGTTCTTACAGTCTCGTCTAAAAGATCTGTCTCCACGTCCCACGGTGGGACTGTTTTGCTATTCATTGGCTCAACTCCTAACTCTGCAACTCTAATTTCATACTTGACCTACCACTGCGACACGCGGGCGATGGTATACGTCGTATTTTGAGTTCTCTTTTATTTTATAGTTAGTTCTATTTTGTAGAGTTTTCATTCTTACATTAAGGCATCTCTATTGTGTTGCATTATCTGATATAGTTATCTCTCTATGTAGTGTAAATTCTTTTTATCATGTAGAGTTATATCTCTTGTGTGTAGAATTATCTCTGTTAAGTAGAGTTATTTCTCTTATGTAGAGTCATTCTTTTTATTATGCAGACTTTTCTCTCTTATGTGGAGTTATCTCTCTTATCCAGAGCTAAGTTTAAAATACAGAAATAAGATTTCGAAATTGAACATCTTGAGAATTCAGATCATGACGTCATTGAAATGTTCTGTTTGAGTATACTCTGTTCCTTCAAACGATCGCAAAGTCAAGGGATTTTCTCGTCCATTATACAGATTTATCATTAACCCATGTTCCTATAAAATCTAGCATAATATTTGAACACTCTGTGTAAAGAACTAAATAAAAAGGAAACCATTACAGCTCTGTAAGCGTTTATGCTTAAATTAATTTTTCAACGAAATGTACTAAATTTCATGATTAAATTCTACCATCAATATTGCTTAAAAAAGAAAAAAAAAACGATTAAGGTTGGTCCCTACTCCAATGACGTCATCATATATATGCTATTTTACAACGGATTAAATGTGTATTCAGATCATAATTTAGGGGGTTATATAATTAATGTAGATCTATTTATTGAAACACATTTGCACGTTTTACTGCTTCAAACATCGGTACACTAGCCAATCAAAATGTGTTTTACAAAACAATTGCATTAGAATCCATGTTTACAGTGTTTTCCTCACATTTATGGCGTAAACAAACTATGACGTATCTATATTTAAAAAAAAAACTATATATTATAATAAAACACGTATGTTATAATAAAACACGTATGTTTTATTAAAACTATAAAAATGTTACATGTATTTGTATATGCAACAATATATATGTGTAATAAAATCATTTTGTAATGAAACTGCAGTTAGAAGATTCTTTGTAGACATTGTGCTAAAACACAATTATATGTTAAAATCGAATGCACTTATGAAAGCATGCTGAGGGTATACATCTTTATAAAAAGATTCTGGTAAGAAATGTAATCAATCATGACATTTATTGCATGGGCTTTTTCATTTTTCAAACTAAAGATAAAATTCTTGATTCCAAGAAAGAAAATATTGCTTCATCCCAGGAAATGTCGAGTTATAGGAAATACCCTAATGACTTTCCGTATCACAGACCGTTTATCTTTGCCACGTTTTTAAAAAATGTAATTTTTGTTTTGAATAAAGAAACGTGAGAATTTAAGCGCTAAATATGCGACAAGAAATCATTTTTTCCCCCCGAGTCCTCAAATACGACTTCGTTGGATATGCATAGTAAACAAAATGCGGAAATATTGACATTTACGGTAAAAAAAAAAATTAAACTTTTGAAAACATGCGCACGTTTTTTTTTTTTAAAAATATTTACTCGAAATTTGTAAGAAATTTATATGAAAATTTTTTATTAAAACATTTAAATTTTAAATCTTGGAAGGGCATTATATATATATATATATGTAAAGTGTACTTTGGATCCGCAGGCGATACAATATACAGTCTGATGGCACTCACAAAAGGCGCAATAATAGTTCATACATGAACCACACGTTAGTCAAATCCCCACGTAGTGAAATCCAGCATGAACACTTGATGATACATATAAAGGACGAAACGCATACTTTCGACTTCGCACCACCCTAGATAAGACGGTTTGATATGTTTATTTTGACTAACAGTGACTCTTACTTGACTTGTCTTATCTGGATGCTGTTTATTCAGAAAAGTTGCTTAAAGATAAAATGTTGTCACAAAGAATTTTTTTACCTGTACATAAAATGTTGTTTTCGTGTGATATCGTCAAATATGTTTTCTTGTGATCTAAATAAATGTTTTCGTGGAAAACATGTAAATGTTTTCTTGTGAACACCTGTGTTTTCTTGTGATATCGACTTCTTTTGAACATCAAACCTAAATGTTTTTTTGTGACATCGTCAAATCAAATATTTTCGCGGAAGTCATTTTTTGTGGTTTGAGTAAGAATTAAGAAATGATAGCTTTGGGGGATTTGAATTCCCCCGACACCCCTTCTAGATCCTTGCATGCTCTTTATACTAAAAACAACCAAAATACCCCAAAAATACCCCCACTCCAACAAAAATACATACACATGTTTATGATCTGATGCAAACCAGTCAAATTACTGGGAACCAAATTATAAACTGTTGAAACTGCAGATACAAGATTTTTTATAGAGGCACTTTCTCAATTAAATTTTGTTCAAATTACAGCATCAAAAGCCCCCTCAAAAATACCCAAACCCCAAACAAAAATACCCCCGCCCGCAACAAAAATACCCCCCCCGCAACAAATTTAGTTCAAATTACAGAGTACTATTTGCGTACTCCTGTCCCCAACAAAAAGTCTCCGCCCTCAACAAAAAAAACCCCACCACCAAAGGAGTAAACGATCTTTAGTTTCATTCACCCCATTAACTGCTTCTCTGGTTTTGTTTTCAGAAAAACTCGCTAGAAGATCACAGAGGAAGATTCTTAAGGTTCATCGCCTTGCTGTTCACTGTTATAAAATTTTACTTTTATGATATATAATGTATTTCTTTAAGAAATATACATAATAAAATGCCAATTTTTCAGCATTCCTTAGTGTGCAAATTTGACAGAAATAGCCATTTAACTCGATAATGTGTGTGTGAATAATGAGTCATTAATCCTGCTAGTTGTCTCCCCTATCAGGGGATCAATGAGCCTTAAGTCACAGAAGGCCCTAAACCAGGTACTTCAGCACCTGTAAAGATTCCTCTTCTTTAATCCATATACAATCGTTTATATCAATACAACCTATGTCTATATCTCGCTCACTTCCAGACTTCAAACTGAGGCGGAACTGCTTAATCAACACCCCTTCAGTATTTATAACCCGTATGTTATTTATATCCCCCGGGCGAAAGCAAACAAGGTTGCCAAACCGGTCACAGACTATCCCCCGAATTCCCTTTAAGTCATGTTTCAGTTCTATCTGATTTAGGAATTCCCCCTTCAGACTCATTATCCAGATACAGGCAGTGTCTTTAATGTAGACTCTCTCATCCTCGTCTGTTGTTATCCGCTCAATGTCTCGCGTGATCTGAGCCACTTTGTTTATAGTCTTTCCACTCGTAGACAGGTGTAACACCTCGCCTCTTCCGATGGAGTTCCGAATGCCGACGAGAACATTTCCACGTTTGGTAGAAGCTAGAGGCCCCACCTCAACAGTAGGAGAAAGGCGGGAAAAGGTAGTGATGTTAAAGTTCAAGGACACCTTTTGGATGACCGCTGACCTGTCTATCCCGTACCCGTTGCTACACAGGACGTCACCAGTCGTCAGTACGGCTAGGTGAACGGCGCTCTGCGACATCTTCAGACACCGGCTTATGTTTCCAAAACTGTCCAACAGACGAAGCATTTTATCCTCCGAACCTACCCACATCCGGCCATCGTCATATCCGGCCACCGACCAAATATATTTACATCCGGGTATCGAGATCGACAAGTCCACGTGGATGTCATCTCTAAAAACAGGATTGTCGCTATCGACTTCAAAGGAACTTGTCGTCTGCAGATTGAAAAGGTCAGTTTTCATGATTTTTGAGAGGACTTTGATCAGAATGCCCCTATGTTCATCTCCTTCCCGCAATAACCTCAGCATCGGAAGTTTTGGGAGGTCTAGGGTAAGGTCTTCCCGGAGGTTGTTGCACTCCGTTTCGATTTTGATTTTCAGATCTGAGAGGTCATGGTCACCGCACTGATCTAACTCGTGGCCTAGAACCTGTACCTGATACTGCAGACGGTCTTTGAAATCGTAAGCCTTTTTGTGCTGTTTATCCATGGAAACGATATCGTTACTTCTCTTCTGTTCAACTTTATCGTGAATCTCCTTGTGAAGTCTCTCTAGTTCCGTTGATAAACTTTCGAAAACTTCATCAACTTCCTTTAGTTTCTGGTTTACCCAATCATCATACGTTTTTTCGTGTGACGTCAGAGTTTGTAGCGTGTCAGAAATGGCATGGGCTTCTTTAGATTTCGAGTTCAACAGAAGGTAGAGATTTTCTCTGACGATTTTATTGTGGTCATTAAGTGCCAGGAAATCATGGGATTTGTGAGTCGTGGTTAGACATAAAACACATATCTCTTTGTTGCAGGTGCGACACTGAAATTGGCAGGCTTGCGCATGCTCCGTGCAATGGGAGTGAACAGTAGCTTGCTTTTTAGGAGCGATGAGACTCTCATTGATCGGCAAAATCACGTGACTTTTGCAAAGCGGGATTTTTGTGTGGGTACGCTTACACTGTACACACATATTATTGACGCAATCGCGGCAGAACCATTTGACGTTAACTTCCGATTCACAGAAATCACACACCGTTTGAATAGCCACTTGCTTCGATAATGACATTTTGAAAGTCACCTAGAAGAAAAGAAGAAAGTGTATTAATTAGTCAATTGATACATTTGTGAATAATCTAGAATTTAAATGATTTAGTTCCTTGAGTTAGGTTTTGATGGAAAATAAAACTTTCTCTATACTTTTTTTATGAAGAAAAAATAAAACGGCTTAAAACGTGGTTTTGATCTGTAAAACAGTCCTAGCATATGTTTCGTTCTATTCCATTATTCATCAGAACATATTCTTTCTTCGTTACCTAGCTCCGTTTAGATCACTAATTAGTTACTGAGTGTGTATTTTGTATGTAACGAGGGTCTGAACAAATCTTCCAACAGGGGCTGGAAGCCTTATTTAGCTGGTGTAGCGAACCTTAAAACTTTTAACATGTAAATTTATAAATCAATGTGTAAATGAAATGAAAAAAGTTTCCTTCTCGACGGTTTTTACTGCAGTTAATGTTCATTTATAAATATTGAAGGAAGTAGATAAAAATACAAGGCGATATTAGTGAATGGATCAGAGAGGAAGAGCGATACTTGAAAAAATATATAGCCCCTGTCGCATACTTGTACACATATAAGATACGCTTGTATATTTGACAATGTTCAGTATTATTCCCATGCAGTGAGACATTCTTCATGGTTCAAAATAAGGGTTGCATCGTTATTTTATGCGTGCATAACGCATTTATATTATAGATGTGTATGTCAAAATTAAATTATGAGCTGAGTAATATAAATGAATCATAAAAGCTTATGGATAATACTTTATTTGAAATAAAATTAAAATCAAGATTTGCAAATTTCTGATTGTGGATATTAAGTAATGGTTAACATAACTTTAATTTTAAAGCAACAGAGACAGAAACTTAAGAGACACGGTCTTAGGAACTGGTCGGGTGGGGGGGGGGCATTCCTCAATAATTTTGCCGATATATAGGATACTACAGAAAAATAAAAGAGCTATACTATTTGCTTGTGCTCTCTCAATAAAAATGTCTGGTAACTTTTTTTTTTTTGCTTGCCAGGGAATTTTTATTAGTTAATGGTGCCCCAAACGGAAAATGCTTTGCTATGCCCCCCCCCCCCCCCCCAACTGAATTCATGATTGCTTCCTATGGGCCTTAAAGACGTCGAAATGGCGGAATGGGGAGGTTTTCAACTGGATATGGGTTACTATTACAATAAATTTCAACATTAATTGTATTAACTCCTATACTTTGCTGGGGGTTGTAAGGGGGGGGGATTAATACCCAAACAAACCGTCTTCTAACTTCAAATAACTTTCTACGAGGGCCGTTCAAAAATTACGCGGACTTGTTGCACAGAAAAAAATATTTGACGACATAATCGAGCAAAATGTCACACATAATAAAAAAGAATCTTTAATATGGTCTTCAAAATAATTGTTGTAAATTAGTATCAATTTTAAGTGATTTTTCAGAACATATACTAAGTTGTTAAAAAAATATGTTTGTTTTAAAACCAAAAACTGCAGGTATTTATGAGATATAGTGTGGTATTGGTGACTCTCAATCACGTTCTTTACAGTCCGGATAAAGTTTTTCGTCGATAATCTTCTTCCCTTCCTCCCGTAAGACCGTTTTACAGAGGTATAACGGTCTAAAATTTTAATTTGCTATTTATGGACGAATGTCACGAATACCCTAGTTTACTACATGTTATATTATGCATATTTTGGATCATATCTCGATTACAGTCGTTTTCACGGGAATATAAGAGAAAAATCACTATATTTCTGTTAGTACTTCAAATATCACGTCAGAAATAAATATATAATAACAGAACATTTAAAAATACATTGAGGAAATTGTTTGTCAATTATAGAAAATTAATGAGTTAAATTTTGGATTCCAATTTTTTTGTCGTGCTCCGTATCTCCATTTTACATTTTATTATTTCTGTGAAGTTTCATAACTATATGACGTCCGTAAAAGTAAATAATAGCACAGTCCGCGTAATTTTTGAACGGCCCTCGTAGTTATTATTAATAATATACTTTTGTTTTTGTGATTAATTAATGACACATAATTATATAAGTGCAAAAATAAGTACATGTATTTAATGCTTGTTTTCACCAAACACCAATTATATTTTACATTTTATTCTATTTTCACATCATTTTGTTTGCAGTTATCATTATCTGGTTTTCATTAGCAAAGAATTCATAGGAAAAGATCTATTATATGTCTAATGCTCTAAATGGTTTAAAGGCAATCAACGAAACGTTGAATATGTAGAGCGACTAACTTTCGTTCCGGGATATTGTAAACACTTAATAATACAATTAACATTCCAACTATAAATGCAATGCATGCATAAGTGTTCATTAGTTTCTATTCCCTACACAAATTGTTTTTTGATATAACCGCTTGTACATTGTACAGGGTGAAGGTCAAAATGACGAACAGCTGATTAACAAGACCCACATAAGCATTTAGGTATCATTTTAACGAAGGGGGAAAATTGGCGCATTTAGAGAGGGGGGGGGGGTTGGCTTTTCAAAACTAAACAAACTATTGCTAGGGAATTGCAGAGAACTTTATAACTTCATGTTTAGGTGTTATTAAATTTATGAATTTAAAATTCATAGCGCTTTGCTCGGTTGAAAACATTGGGCTCAATAGATAGAGAAAATATTTCCATCTATAAATGTGATCAAATCCGGATCGATTCAAACATCTATATGTCTACAATGCAATGACGTATAGCAAGGGGTCCCGTACACTGACGCTATAATGATGGGTTCTCTACAATGACGCTTTAAAACAATGATGGAGGGTATGTAGCAATCGGTATGTCCGTCCGTCTGTCTGTTACGCTTTGGAGTACCCATCTCTTATCTTCACCTCTTCTCATACCACTGAATAAAATTTGATGAAACTTTCACAGAATCTTTATTACATATTGCCATTGTGCACCCACTTTTTTATTTTTTGATCTGACATATTTTGGATTTCCCAAACATGGGCAGTCCCGTAACATTCATTTGGGAGGCGGGGGGATCGTTTAGTGAACTCATTGCTCACAGTACCTCTAGTTTTACATAGGCTGACTGGTGGCCGCACTTTTCTCTGTTCCTACTTCATAGAAATGCACTAGCTGCTGCGACCCATAACTTAACACTATTAATCTAATTACCAAAAACTATGCGCGCTTTATTGTTACAAATACCGCGTTCATGATCAAATATGCAATAGGTTTTATACATTTACATTTGAAAAGTGATTTACAGTCAATTTTAGCCAGGTAACTAGGAGAGAAAACAAACATTATCCTGTAACTGAAGGGTGCTATAAATGTAACTTGAATCGATTTCAGAAAAAACATACACTGTGGTAGGCTAGGAATGAAATCCCTCGGTCGCCAAATACATAGAAAGAAAATAACTCACCTAAAGCAGGGATAAAATAAAATAAAAGATTTATCCATACATGTCAAACATCTAACTTTTTATAGTAGAAACGATCGAAATGATACCTTGTCTAAATTTAGCCGATTCTAAGAAGTCACGTGACTTGTAAATGTTCCGTCTTCCTGGTCCAAGTTTGATCACGTGATCAAGTGAGTAGAATACAGCCATATATCATCATTCCAAAAGCTGAGCATGGGAAATTCTTATCATAGTTCACATGCACTCTGATATTGAATTTGCAATACATGTAATTTTTTCATGAATAAAATAATTCAATAGTACACATGCTGAGACTTTCAATAGGGAAATAATAAAGGGTACGATATAATTATTGTAGCGGCGGAGAACGGGAAATGAAATACTAGATCTGGGATAAAAAATACGTCTGCATGTTGGTAGTTTCCTTATTCTTGCTTTTTAAACTCAATCTGCCTTGAGATATGACTATGTTATATATATATTCTAACTAAAGAATGTTTAAGTTCTTTGTGTGTTCTCTTGTTAAATACAAATTATTCAAGATGAGAATTTCATTAATGAAATTGGATCAAAACAATGATTTACGATTTGTTATAAGTCGCTAATATTATATATTGTAAACACTTAACGAACAAGAGGCCCATGGGCCTTATAGGTCACCTGAGTATTGTGCAATAACTTTCAAACAATTAAATTTGGTTCTTGTTTTAAAGCGGCACTGTGACGCACAAATGGAAAAATTGACAAATGTAGAATTTTTGCATGAACTCTGTAAATTTTGTTCAATTCCTAAAAGTATTCAGTTTCAGGAAATTACATATTTCAGAACCTAAAAATATTTTTATGGGGAAAAATAAAAGTAAATATAATATCTGTCTGCCCCAGAACGAAAATATTGCAAAATACCTTGGTACTTCTTCCTCCCCATTGTACGCGTGCGCAGAAAAGTGTTGAATAAGTTTCCATAGTAAACCATGGTCTCAGTTATCCACGAATGAATGTAAGAAGACCAAAAAATTTGATTTAATCTTTTTAAAAAAGTTTTAAGAACATATTTCTCACCTTTGCATGCTCCAGTTGAATGTTGTTTACAAGTTTGAGCTAAAAATAAGAGTTGCATGACCTTGACATAACCGAAACAACGAAACGGTAGATACAACCTTTATTTTTCCGGCACTTATATTATGCAGTCAATTCTTGCAGTTATATTCATAGGCACTTGGGGTATGGACCCCCCCCCCCTTTTCCATTTTTTTTTCTTTTTAAATCTGGGTTCGAGTCACCTTTTTCCTATTTTTCTATTCTAATATGCACTATATGTTATCAAAAAGTGCAACTCCTTTGTCTCTACAAGCTGTTTTTAAAAATGCCGTTTTTCACTGGTACATATAAAGATATGTATCAGTGAAAAACGGCATTTTTAAAAACAGCTTGTAGAGACAAAGGAGTTGCACTTTTGATAACATATAGTGCATATTAGAATAGAAAAATAGGAAAAAGGTGACTCGAACCCAGATTTAAAAAGAAAAAAAAATGGAAAAGGGGGGGGTCCATACCCCAAGTGCCTATGGTTATATTGTCATACATTCGCTAAATACTCATAATTTCATAAGTCTTTCTCTGTATGCTACAGATATCTTAAAATTACGATATGATTTTGACTCACTGTGCCGCTTTAAACCAGAGGCAATGGAATTCGCAATTCACAATTTTGAAATAGGTACCATTGCTTATAATGATTTAGACTTAACATGCTTACTCTATTTACTTAATACCCAGAGGTAGATCAAAGTAACATTAAGAGAAAATGCACTTCCACTTTATAACCAGTTGTACACCTCATCCCAAAGGAACCACTGATCCTGGGGCCACATATTTCAAAATTTTGCAAATTTTATCATAAAATGGTTGATTAACACCAAAGAGCAAATTTCAAAGCATTAATTTATTTTCAGACTTTGTACCCCCCCCCCCCTCCTCCCCGACCCAGGGAAGGGGCGGGGGCATAAAAAATAACCATTTTGCTAGGTGCACCTTTCTTCATCATAAATATATATGTAAGACTCCAAGGTCCGATGGTGACGCCAAAGTCCGATGGTCTCGCAAAACCCCGATGCTCTGCGCCAAACCCCGATGGTTTTTTGTCGGTACGGACGCCAAAGTCCGATGGTCACGCCAAAGTCCGATGGCTCGTTTCCTATGAGACGCGCGACGCTAAAGTGCGATGGTCTGACACGCCAAAGTCCGATGGTGTGGAGAAACAATCGACGCTTATGACGTCACAATAATTCGACGTCAATCCTTGAAGCTGTTTTCCTGCATTCAAATGCCATAATTTCTGAATTTATCCTTGCTTACGCTTTTATTTATTTTGTGTATTGCTTACATGTTTCAGAGATATTAGGATTAGTCCTCGCACACCACTCAACTGATTAGGGTTTATCCTTTTAGTTTTATTGACTTAGGGTTAGTCCTCTCACACTAGTCGAGTTATTATAGGGTTAGTATCGCACCCACCCAAGATATCTAGGTATCTATATAGTTGTTATAGGCCTACACACTTTTCGAGCGATTAGGGTTAGGTAAGTACCTATCCAAGAGATAAGGGTTAGTTTTTGCAGAATGATAATTATTACTGCTTATTTAAAATTTTGGCATGGTGCGGCATTGTAGTTTGCCGCATTAGTATTATGACGTCATAAACGTAAATTGTTTTCAGCACCATCGGGGTTTGGCGTGTCAAACCATCGGGGTCTGGCGTAGACCATCGGACTTTGGCGTGACCATCGGACTTTGGAGTCCCGTCGCACTTTGGAGTCCTACATATATATTTGGATCATAGGCATAAACACAGGAGCAAAGGAAAGAATTTCAAAGAATAAATGCATTTTCACTATATAACCAATAGAGCCCCGCCCTAACATCAGAACCCCTGACCCTGGGGTCATAAAATTCACAATTTTTGAAGAGGCACTCTTGCTTATCATAACTAGGTATTAAGTTAGTTTATCTAATACCCAGAAGTAGAGAAGAAGATTTTCAAAGAATAAATGCATTTTCACTATATAACCAATAGAGCCCCGCCCTAATACCAGAACCCCTGACCCTGGGGTCATAAAATTCACAATTTTGAAAGAGGCACTCTTGATCAACATAGCTATTTTAATAGTTAGTTTATCTAATACCCAGAAGTAGAGAAGAAGATTTTCAAAGAATTAATGCATTTTCACTATATAACCAATAGAGCCCCGCCCTAATACCAGAACCCCTGACCCTGGGGTCATAAAATTCACAATTTTGAAAGAGGCACTCTTGATCAACATAGCTATTTTATTAGTTAGTTTATCTAATACCCAGAAGTAGAGAAGAAGATTTTCAAAGAATTAATGCATTTTCACTATATAACCAATAGAGCCCCGCCCTAACACCAGAACCCCTGACCCTGGGGTCATAAAATTCACAATTTTGGAAGAGGCACTCTTGCTCATCATAATTATGTGCTTGGTTAGTTTATTTAATACCTAGGAGCAGAGAAGAAGATTTTCAAAGAAATCATGCATTTTCACTATATAATCTATATAGCCCCGCCCTAGCACTAAAACCCCTGACCCTGGGGTCATGAATTTCACAATTTAAGTTGAGGACTCAATGCTCATTACATTCATAATGACAGTTTGCCTGCTTGATGTCCAGGAGATTTTTAAAGATTGCAATAATTTAAGTGGTTTTTGCCCCACCTCCCAGGCCCCAGGGGGACAGGGACCATGAAATTTACAATTTTTGTTCCCCTTCACCCATAGATGCTGTATACCAAATATGGTTGAATTGGTTAAGTGGTTTCAGAGAAGAAGCTGAAAATGTTCAAATGTTAACACACGACGCACGACGACGGACGAAAACGGATAGCAATAGGTCACCTGAGTTACTCAGGTGACCTAAAAATGTTGATTTTATTTTTTAGATATTGAGAAAATAGTATCCTAAAAAGGTCCATCCACTGAATCTACAATAGCCCCTTTTCCTGTAACATATACTCTTCAAAAAAAAAAAGAAACATCGTAGAATTTAAGTAACACATTGAACATGAAGATTATTTAGTAAAATGATGCATTGAAAAAACAAAAATGTGGCGAGCAACAGGAATATTATCCATATTTCATAATTACTCAACAATTTTAAAATTATTGTCAGTTTAAGACCATTAAAGATCAATATCTGGTATGCCCCCCGCAGACACAAATGATAGCCACAAACGACATCTAATGGAAGCAAATAAGTGTAATAAAAACTGTATAGGAATACTATCCCACTCCAAATGTAGAACTTTAGTCAGCTGTTGCAGAGTATGGGGATGCAATTGTCTTTGGCAAATCATGTCAATTCATTTTGTACAATGCTGATTAATCTGGATTTAATCTAGCGATTTAGATGACTGTGACTGTAACAGGTTGTTGTTTCTTTGCAAGAATTATGTGTGTCAAACGAGCCATATGTGGTTATGTATTGTGGAATTGCAATACGGCTCTAGGATGCTGCAAAATTGAATGGGTATGTGTAGGTAGAACATGGTTAGAGTATCTTTTTCCATCAAAGTCCATTGAATTCGAACCAAATCAATCTTACTTTCATATAATACCATTTTCCATATCATTACACTACCACCACCAACTTTTTTTAACGTCCTGGAGGCAGTTATCTATCTAACCTTCATTAAAAAGCATTAGCACTCTTAAACTTATAAAAGGCTTTCAGATAAACATCCTGAACTAGCAAGTTAACCAAAATGTTCAGCAGTGATGCTGTGGTCGTACTCTAATCATCTGAGATCTTTGAAGTTGATATTTGGGGTGTTGTGGGGTCGGAACAATGGCATGAATAATCCTCTTGCAATAATTCGTAGTCAACTGAAAACGGTCTTGTTAGATGATCTGTTCAGTTCAGAGATAGCTAATACTTTAGATGACGTCCTTGCATTACATTCATGCAATTTGCGTAATCCTCGGAAGTGATGCTGTGCTGCTGATGTCACACGTTGTCTACCATATTTTTTGCGAACATTGGGTGTTCGATGTTAATGGTTTATGTTTTATAGGTTAGATATGGTCTGTGTGTAACATTAAAACCTCTTGCAAATGTAGATTGCGGTACCCCTGCTTCCAGTCGCCCATTTTCTTTTTTGTGCCACGCAACATTCAGATGCAGCAATTTTAGGAATCGTCATTTTTCAGATAAAACAAGATTCAAAATATCGAGAATCCCCGCTTTTGATAGCCCCTTTGTACCTAAAGGAATTGCATTGGAATTCAACAAATGAAAATTGAGATCAAAATTTTGGGGGGAATTTTGCAAAATCAGGTCTTTTTGTCTGTGAGACTTGTAGTATTCTCGCAAAGAAACAACAACATAATTCAGTCACAGTCATCTAAATCGCTAGATTTAATCCATTTTAAGATCAATCTTAAATTTTAAGTGCAAATTTTTGGAGTTAAGTCTGACTAAAGACAGTTTCATAATCCCGGAGCCAGATATTGATCTTTCATGGTCTTAAACTGACTATAATTTTTAAATTGGTGATTAATTATGACAATAAGACAGCATTCCTGTTGCTTACCGCATTTCCGTTTTATCAATGCATCATTTTACTAAATAATTTTTATTTTCAATGTTTCACTAAAATTCTACGATGCGTTTCTTTTTTTTTTTGAAGCGTATATATGTCATAGGAAAAGGGTCTATACTACTCTGTAATAAAGATTCTGTGAAGTTCATTAAATTGCATTCACAGGTGTAAGAGTAGTTGTGGATAAGGGATGGCTACAATATAATACAGACACTCCCACTGCTATATACCCCCACTTTTCAAGCGGTGAAGAGAACATGGAAAAAGAGGGGGGGGGGGGGGGGGGGTTACAGTCTTGATCGTTAGCTAGGTCGAGATTGAATGCTGATTTGATTGTCAACGGGACAAAACTCTAATTTTTGCTTGTTCTTTCCATAAAGAATTGAAAAGCAGAAAAAAATCCTGACATTTAAAGATAATTTCTTTGAATATTTCCCTTTTCTGTTTTTCGTAGTAAAAGCTCACCAGGCTGCTGTGTAATATTAACCCCCCCCCCCCCCCCCTCCTTGCGTTGAAACAAATCAGATGAACTGAAAACAGAAAAATAGTTATACAATAAAGTTTTAAACCGTTCACATCCGCAGTTTACATGTGTTCATTAAATTTTCCCGACATATTAAAGTGTGATTGTTAGATCTTGTTTTATACTCGGAATTACATGTACCCTTATGAAATCAGAGTTCCTATTTCAACAACACAAGTCGAGGTGTTGATGAAATGCCATCTTGCCTAGTAAACTACTGTAAACCATCTTTTATTCGCATGCGAGAAATATCCGCGAGTTCTGCGAACTCCTTTAATTCGCAAATATTAATAGCCGTGAACCATTCATATTGATAAGGATTTGTTGAGAATGTTTCCTCGGTCGTGAAAATTAGTCGTCGCGGAATTATTCTTAACAAATCGCAAATAAAAGATGACACGAATAATAGTTGCTTTACAGAATGAGCTCATTCAAGAGATAATGCTAATGTAATACACCTTTCTTTTTATTACAACAATAATTTCTTCCTAAATTTCACATTCTTCTTCATCCCTTTCTCCTGTTCAAACACAAGACAAAACAAACACTACATGTATAAAGCAGCATATAACAAAATAAATAATTAGTATATAAGCCTGTGTCTTGACCGTCAGTTGAGATGTATCTATCCTAGGTACACCATCAATTAGTAGATTTAGTCCCAGTGTTGTGTCGGAGTTTTTTTTTCCTCAAGTGTAGATGAATCACAAGGACTATCCTACTTTCACTTTTACACGGTCAGGTGGTAATGTCACATGATCAAAACAGTCACATGATTTTTCTTACTCCATGTTTGACCCTAATTGTAGTTTAAAGGTCAAGGACGCTGGGGTTGTGGGGTCAGCTACATACAGTTCTTGCCCATCTGTCAGTCCAAGCTCTGGATGAAAGAAGAAGACAATTATAATTAAGATCTTCACAGATCTTACTTTTAAAATAAATCACTGTCACAACCTATAGTAGGAAAATTATAATATACAATTATGGACTGTTTAGAAGGGAGACATCACCAATTATCAGGTCTGAGTAGGGTTGTCACCCGAGGGCGCTTGCGCCCGAGGGTGACAACCCTACTCAGACCTGATAATTGGTGATGTCTCCCTTCTAAACAGTCCATAATAGTTTTATTATCCTGAAGAATATACAATTATCAATTAGATAGAGTAGAAAATAGTAATCAAACCTCTTGTTTTCTTCTACTCTGCTCCGATTCCATACTTTCAAAATATGTCAACAGACAACTTTGACGTCATCGTTAGAATTTATTGTTTACCGATCCCGCATATTTAGCCAATGTACTTATAAACAGGAGTTATCTCGCTTAAACCACTGTTATTTTATTCAAAGAGCGACAACACAGTTGTAACCCTGCATGCTCGCTTACGCTATTTCATTGTCATCTGAAGGGAGATAACAGTTGTCACCCTGCGCGTGAGGGAGACATCACGAGTTGTCTCCCTGCACGTGACCTGCTCTAAACCAATCAGATTGACTGTATAATTCTGAAGGATAATAATATATAAGATCTTCACAGTTGTTTCTACTGCCATGTTGCAACCACTATTGAAAAAAAGACCACTATTGAAATAATTATATCAATACTGGCTGAGAGTGCATTTCAATGACAAACATAGTTAGTAACCACTATTGAAATAACAATCACTGTTGAAATAATTATATCAATAGTGGTTGAGAGAGTATTTCAATACCAAACTTAGGTAATAACCACTATTGCAATACGACCACTATTGAAATAATTATTTCAATAGTGGATGAGAGTGGTTTTCAATAACAAACATAGATAGTAACCACTATTGAAATACGACAACTATTGAAATAATCATTTCAAAAGTGGGTGAGATTCATTTCAATAACAAAAATAGGTTGCAACCACTATTGAAATGATGTTCACTTTTGAAATACAGATTTCAATATGGATTAAATTATTGATTTCAATAGTACATTGAACAATGAATCCAATATATATTGAAATAATTTTTTCAAAAGTTGCTGATATGGTGAAACTTTTCTTTCAATACTGGTAGTGTTTTAATAGTGGTTGAAACCTATGGTTACCATATTGAAAAGCACTCTCACCCACTATTAAATGCTTATTTCAGTAGTGCTCATATTTCAAAGGTGGTTGAAACCTATGGTTATTATATTAAAATGCACTCTCATCCACTTTTGATATAATTATTTCATTAGTGGATGTATTTCAATAGTGGTTGCTAACTATATTTGTCATTGAAATGCACTCTCAACCACTATTGATATAATTATTTCAATAGTAGTCGTATGTCAATAGTGGTTATTAACTATTTTTGTTATTGAAATGCACTTTCAACCACGATTGATATAATTATTTCAATAGTGGTTGTATTGCAATAGTGGTTATTACCTTTGTTTGTTATTGAAATGCTCTCTCAACCACTATTGATATAATTATTTCAATAGTGGTCGTTATTTCAATAATGGTTGCAACACTGCCACAACCTCGAGTAGAAAATTTACAATGAACATTTTTACAGATGTAACTATCACAATCTTTCACAGAAAAAGAACCTTTTTAAAGAACAATTATACACTGCTTATGTTTAAATAGCCGAATGAAAATTAAATTCATAATACTAGCATTTATTGGTTTAAACAGAAACAATATGATAGATCAACCACTACTCAACCTTTATATTCTAATTTCTAAAATATGTTCCATTTATCTTTTATAGATAAAAGCCTTTCCTTGAAACTTAACCATAGTTAAGACATGCAATACATTAAGTCTACAATAACTTGGAGAAAAAGCTATTCCTTCAAGACATATGTTCATACAACCCTTATTCTATGTCTGACATAAACGTCAGACTTATCAATGAGATGACCTCCTATCCTTACCTTTAAGTGTTTTCTTCAGGTTGTCTTTTGTTCGTTGTTCTATAGATTTGACTGTCTGCATGTACAGAGTTTTGTTTTTACCGTCTACTGATGTTGTGATTCCAGGAGATTTCATTTGGCTGTTAGAATAAAAAAAAATCAGGATAACAAAGATGAAACTCGCTGACGCCTTGTATTTGGTCGGCGGGTGATGCTCACTCCTCCATGGCACCTGATCCCACCTCTGATGTTTTGGCGGTCTGTGTTTGCTCTGCTCCAATTTTGTATTTGTTTGATTGACGTTTCAGCTTGAATACTGTTCGATATCTCCAGTTTTTCATCAATGACATGGTTTCTACTGGTAACTAATACTTACTACTCAAAAATTTAATGTTGCTGTAAAAAAGAATGAGGGGATTCAAAATCTATGGGCTAGCGTCTTTTGTTACCTACCCTATGATATGCACTGTAATAAGGCAGTAAAGTTTTATATATTTTTAAAAATCCACGTATTATTAGGAGTAAATCTTTACTTGAAGAATTTAATATGTTTCATGATCACTGGTGGAGGAGCCATACAGTTGTCTCCTTAGTTAGGAGGACCTGGAAAACTTTCTTTGCCTTCAGCCTATGGCCTTGGGTAATCTTTCCAAGGTCTTGATTTCCATGCCATCTCGCTGACAACAATTTAACTATTTTTGTTTTACTCCTGATGTAAAATAAATCCTTTTTAACAAGAACTACCACTGATGCACTGTACTTACTATGTAGCACTTTCTATTAGATACGTGATAACGTCTTGGAGTTTGTCGTTTTCTGAGAATGTTAAAACTTGAGGTATATTGGTGCAGGCCACACAATCCTCCTTTGAAAAGAAAATTTTAGTCTTCAAGACTGTAGCTTTATAATCAATATGCAATGCTTTATCCAGAACTTCCCATCAAAACTACTTTTGACACAGTCCCTCAAATCAAAAGTATTATAAAATTTGACATTTTTAATTAATAATTTGACAATTTATGTACATAATCTGGCCACCGGAGAACAAACTCCGATGAGCACCACATTCCTCCCTCCTCAAAGGTCTTTGGCCCCAAAGGACCCCAACCCAGGCTCATCCCTGGCAGGCCTTTCACCTGTCAGTTCCAGGGCATGTCACGGCACCAAATGTAATAGGAGAGACGAAAAATGCAGTGGACATACTTGGGATTCGAACCCTGGCCCCCCCGAATCTCCGTTCTTGTGCACTACTGGCTGAGCTATCTGGTCACTAGCGATTGACTGGGCTGACCGCCACACACATATCAATGTTATAGTCCATATAATGAGGGATTAACAACATAATATTTCAAATGTTTGTCATGAGGAAACAACACTGCATTTAGCTGATGTTTGAAGGTGAAACTTAGGAAGGATTGACCGAGATCCTGAGTGTGAATACTTACCATTGTTTGAATATTTACCTTTTTTAGAGCTTCAAACGTGTAAGTATAGATGCCCGCCGTATCATTAAAATTCATGTAGTTATTTAATGGCAAACAGCAACTGAGAAAATCAGAAAAAAGGAAAGATTTGATAGCTTTAAAAACAAAACACAATTTTTTTCAGAAATAAGATAGTTTTTTCCTTTTACACATTTTATAATTTTCAAAATTTAAGAGATAATCAAATAGGAATAACATTCTTTTCACCTTGTGGCTATTTTAAAAACTTCTGTCGCACAAGCAGCTGAAAATGATGGAAAGAAACAAAGATATAATTTCAGTTTCTTTCTTTATAAAGAATAAAAAGTTCATCATAATCCAAAAATAAACATCAAATAGTGAATGTCACCATTAAGTTAAAGCCTCAAATGTCACAGATACGCAGTTTCTTAATTAATACAGTACATGTATAAATGACACAATCGTACAGACCTGCTATTATAGCATTGGTGGAGGCCACAGCAGGGATAATTCTTTTGACCACACCTGTAAGAGATAAAAATCAATCAATCTATCTTACTCTACAGTACACGCCACTAAATTTTACAACTTCATTAAAGAGTACACCACTAGTCAACTCATTATGTTATATTTATTTAGGGTTTTTTCAGGTGAATGTTTAAGGCAATAAGGTGTATTAGCTGAAGTGATTGTGCCTGGTCTGACTCTGTGGAGATACTAGGAGGTGTTGTAGCTAAATTTATATTTATAAGTACAAAAATTATTAATTTAATTTAAAAAAATTAATGACATTGGCTCACTCTATAGATTTTTCTATACTCACCCTGAGTCAGTCTGTAGTTAACTCCCTTTATGTTATACTCGTTGGCTCGCTCTATAGATTTTTCTAAGATCCATTTAATATGGTGAGGGTCGTCTCCATCAATGATCACACCACCTAGAAATCAAAGTATTGAAAGTACTGAAAAGTACACTAACCGCTGAAAAATAGTAATGTTGTAATTTAAGGTAAAAACAGATAAAAGATGATTCTGATTGCACACACGGGTACTCTGAAGTTGACATCAAGAAGATGCTTGAGTTTCTGATTGACAATATCTATGTGGTTTGTGGAGACCAGGTCTTTCAACAATCTATTGGAATTCCCATGGGAACCAATTGCACTCGCTTATTAGCAGACCTATTTTTGTATTCATATGAAGCAGAATTTATGCAAAATCTTATGCATGAAAAGATGAAAACACTTGCTGTGACCCTCAAGTTGACATTCAGATATATCGTTGACGTATTGTCAATTAATAATTGGGGTGCAACGATATGCTTACCCCAGGATATGATACGTATCACGGTATTCAGTTCAGGATACGATATGTATCATGATATATATATCCAGGACAGCTTGAGATAAAACTAGAGGTACTGTGAGCGATGAGCTCACTAAATGATACCCCCCGCCTCCCATATGGTTATAACTGGTGAAAAAGTCCATGTTTTCCTGTGGCTGGGAAACCCAAAATATGTGTCGGATCAAAAAGTAAAATAGGAGGTGCACAATGGCAATATGTGATAAAGATTCTGTGAAAGTTTCATCAAATTCCATTCAGTGGTATGAGAGGAGTTACGGATAAGAGATGGGTACCCCAAAGCGTAACAGACGGACGGACGGAATTAACGATATACCCTCCCGCTTTTCAAGCGGGGGGTATAAAAACATACCACAGAGTCTGACACATCTATTTCATACTTGAATATCCTCAACTTCCCTTACTTATAGAGCGATATAACTTCATCACCTTCATACAGAGTGTATATATCTCAGTTGATTCGATACACATGACCATGCTCTACATATGAAAAACTTCTAAAGCGAGTTAAATTATTGACGAGAAAGTTGATGAAACAAGAATATCAGCAGTCTCGTTAAAAGTCATCATTTTGTAAGTTCTATGGTCGATACAATGACCTTGTCAGGAAATACAATTTATCATTCAGTCAAATGTTGACTGATGTTTTTCATACCAATTGATAGTCCATTATTTATACATTGAATTAAAGACAAATTTTCCTGTTATTTCACAATCGTGACAATGAGCACACAGCACGTTTGACAGGTTAGTGGGGGATGCTCACTCCTCCATTGCACCTGATCCCGCCTCTGATGTTTTTGAGGTCCGTGTTTGCTCTACTCCTACTTAAATTGTTTTATGGACTTTGATATTGAATACTGTTCGTTATCTCCATATCCTTCTTTGTAATGGTAAATAAGCAACTTATGAATAAATATAAAATCAAAGTGTTCATGAATTCTTCTTATTTTATCATAAATGATTTTTTTTAATTATCAAAATATTTGCAAGAATGAAATTTTGAAGATTTTTTGAGAGCAAATATTATGTGAAAAAAAAGTTCTCGTGCATCAAGTGATTACTTCTAAGCATATATACTTCACTTATTCTACTCCCATACTACATTTGATACCTACTTCCCATAATATACTGTAAATGTATTATATTTAGTGTGTACCAGATTTAGTGGAAATTGACAAAAAAGTTTGCAAAGATTTGATTGAATTGATTCCTTAATGTTATTATTTATTTATGCATTTGCAATTTATTTAGCATTGTACTTGTCTGAATTAGTGAATGTTTCTTTCCGCTAAAAGTGCTAAAAAGAATACACAGCCAAATATAACATGTTCAGAGTATGTGATAACTAATTCCCATAATATATGCGATTCCTACTTCCAAAAGGTTCTTCTTTCGGCCAGAGTAGAATTCTGACGTACTCTATACAGTGTTCTGGTAGCCTCGGGGTGTGGGCTATTGTACACAGAGGAAAGTTTACCTAAAAAAAAGAAAAAAAGCATTATTTTGTAAATTAGTTTTTTTTAGTACAATTTCACAGTCCCATAGTTTGGAGTTTTTGTGTTGGTGACACACATTAACTCAAATCACATAAAATTGTCCAATAAGAATTACACAGAACGGTTCTATTTGCAATGTGACTGATTTAGATGCCCTGGGGTGAAAAAAATTTAATTCGTGCCTCAAATTTTGTTTATAGCAACACAAAAAATCCAGACTTTTGGTGAAATATTTTTAAGTATTTCTTAGAAGTTGGATACAAAGAGGTTTAAAGGTAAGTTCCTTAATTTCTGGAATAATTTGGACAGTTTTTTTTCTACATTGATACAGTAATTCAATGCATGCAATTGTGTCTCAATTTTCATGCAATTCAAAAATAATCAAACTCAATAAAAATGAGATCATATTATGAGCAATACCTATTGTAAAACAACTATTCTTCACATCATCTTTTATTTGTGATTTGTCAGTTTGTAATCAATCTGCTAGGATTATGAAATATTCTCAACACATACAAAGCAAAACAAATGGTTCACGGCAATTAACATTTGCGAGAAAGAATAGGTTGTGAAACTTGCGAATATTTCTTGCACACGAATAAAAGTTGGTTTACAGTATTTTCATAAAGAATTTAGAGCACCATAAGCTAAAGCATCTTAAGACTCCTTGCCATGTGACACATGTTTCAGGAACAGAAAATATACACAATACCACCTTAGATATGTGACTTCCACATGCCAAAAATCATATGTCATGTTGAAGAGTGTTCTGCTCCAAGCTATGTGTTGTTTTTTTTTCCAAAAATAACCAAAAAAATTCACTCTGAAGTCACAGATCAAGTTCACCTGACTCATTTATAATCATAATACACCAACAAGTCAAGTTATCAAAGTAAGACATTACAATAAATCTCCTAGACATAATTCTTTCCCCTCACCCTAAAATATTCTTGATTTGACTTTTTTAAAATCATTAATTTATGAGTCATGACACACCATCATATGATACTACACTCACATTTTATTATTTATGATATCAAGCCTGGATTGAACCAAGTAAGAAAAATATATGGCAATAACTGTATTGCACTGATGCATATACAAAAAAAAATATCACAAGAACAATTAAATAGCAGGACAACGAAGGAAAGAACAGGTCACAGGATAAAGAGGTCAAAGGACAGAGGGCAAAGGACAAGACCCACACATGTGGGTTATTGGTACAAGACAAAACATAGTGTATGTGATGTTATAAATAAATGTACAATCTTATTTTGATTTAAAGATTAATAAGCCATGTTCAATAATAAAATAAAAGCTAGAGAAAAATAATAAATCCCAGACAGAACATCGTCTCAAGCCACGGTCTGGAGTAACTGCAATTGGATATTGAAAGGTCACAATAAAGTTCACCATCCAACTATGCTTTACTTGCATTGGTCAATATTTAAATGAACTACGAAGAATTCTCTCCTCGTTCAACCACGGCCAGAATGGGAGAGGGTCGTACATTTTAGCCATGGTTTACATCGATGCAGGCAGAAGAACAAAAACCTTTCCATTGGTTATGGATAAAGTTTTACGTAACTGGCTACTAAAATCCACAAAAAAAAATTATGAAATGCACAAAATACAATCAACAGCAACAACAGGTGGTCAACAAAGGCTCATCACAGACAGACAGACAGACAGCTAGACAGACAGACTAACATTACCAATCCCTGTCATTTAATGAAAGAAAAAAAAGTCAAAATAAAACTTAATGAATAAAGAGCTACATTGAAAAATAAATAAATTCAGATGCTGAACTAAACTAGAAAACAGTAAGTGGCACATGTACCTCAACAAGGCATGGTCTGTGACTTAATTCTATTTTTGTGTAGTATGGAATTTCAGTGGCCAGAAGTATTTCACTCACAAATCAAACAGTAAAATGATGATGTATGCCATAAATTTCATATCAGAATCAACATTGCTGTAGGCATTAAAATGGTGATAACTTCAGACTTACTGTACGTGTACATAAATTGGTGTATTAAAAATTTAGCGCAATCACTGGATATTGACTTGTTGGCGTATTCATGAACTAGGGCTACATACTTCCACACTGTACAATGTATTCATCGATGATTTCTTAGCGGTATTCATTAAGTTAACGCAGTAACTGCATCAGAACTTTAATTCCTATTTTACTAATCCTAATCTACTGAAAAACTACCCAGTACAAGTGTATTATGATAATTATTTCCTAGTAACTGTTAATCAATGACTGTTATTTAAATTTCATGAACTGATATATATTGGCTGACACATGTTGATCTTAATGAATGTTCGCAGATTTGGTATAGAGAAAATATCCTTATAGTTGTTATCAATCAAATAATGAAGCTAATAATTATAGAGATTATTCTGAAATAAGTCTCTTATTGCCTGATCTAGCTGCATTAGATTCATGTCCAGGTATTTCTAATTAAGTTTACCTTGACCTGCATTAGATATATGCACAGGTATTTCTAATAAGGTTTTTACCTGAGGCGGGTAAAGGTCGAGCGTACAGTCCACACAGGCCGTCATTCCAGGGAGGATTACTCTAGCGTTCCCCTTGAACCCCTCCGTTCCCCCGTCTACCATTGGGACGATCGAGCTGGGGTCCAGTTCTCCGTCGTCATACTGTAGCAGGCTGATCTGCCAAGGGAGGAGGAAGTAGAATATTTCCATCGAGAGTTGAATGACAAAAGTATGTGGCAAGTCATCAGAAAAAAATATTAATATTAGATATGAATTTAATTTTTGAAATTCATGAAGAACTTGAACTACAACACTTCACGCTTGCATCTTTATCATGAAGCCTCTGAGTCAATGCGCTTCTTGAAATATGCCGGCGTAAAGCGTCGTAGTTCATGTCCTCATGAAATTCTCAAAAATTAATATCAAATTATAAATGTTCCCATGATATTTCTCTCTAGTTACCAGCATTCCATTGATCCATCGCCGTGCTACTATAGAGTCCAACCCGCAAACCACGATGTGAAACTCTAAAACATTATAACATGATTTTCATTTAGCTCTCACTTTGTCATGGTAAAGTCATAATTGTAGGAAGTTATAATTAACACTCTTGACAAGCAATAACTTATGAAAGAAATATGAAGTGATGTCAGAATAAATACCCTTATAAACAGTCTCTGTCTACTTACGTCTGTAAAAAGATTCATCGAAATCCTGGATTTTACAGTAATGGCTTTGGAGAGTTAAAGAAACAATAAATTATTGTACATGTAACATCAATTGAAGAGCAATTGAAAGATTGCTTAGAACATGTTTCAGAAGCAAACAAACTACTGAAAAAAAATTTCACATTAAGGGTGGACTAACAGTGGTTTTGCTTCATGGAAACGCTATTCTTTATACTGTAACTCAATTGATTATGTGTTTCTAAGGATATGGCATGACTTAACACCCGATCAGTTAACTATTAACATGTTTTTAAGTATACAGGGTAACTTTACACCCGATCATTTAATTGTTTACTTGTTTATAAGGATATGGCGTAACTTTACACCTGATAATTTTATCTGTTTACTTTTTTCTAAGGATACAGAGTAACTTTACATCCTATCACTCAATTGTTTACACGCTTCTAAGAATACTGCATAACTTTACATCTTTTCACCCTGTTGTTTACACATGTCTAAGGATACAAAGTAAATTTACATCCTATCATTTACCAGTAACTATTTTCTTGTTTATAAGGATACAACGTAACTTTTCACCCTATCACTCAATTTTTAACACATTTCTAAGGATACGGTGTAACTTTACATCCTATCATTTAACTGTTTACACGTTTCTAAGGATACGGCGTAACTTTACACCCTGTCACTCTGTTGTTTACAAACTCTGCGGCCACTTCAGCCTTAGGTCTTCCCACATCCTTAGCTCTGAAAACAAATCAGAGAACACACAAAATTACTGCAGGAGAACTTTATTTTTGCATAATTACTTGAGACTCTCTGCTCACAAAACTTTCTTTCTAGGGTATATTTGTCATAATAAACAGCAATTATAACAGATATCTAATAATTTCCTTCTTAATGCTTATAAATACAATATACTCTACGTGCTGTATGTATACATGAATTGGCGATTCAAAATTTTGTGCAATCAAGGGGTATGGAGTTGTTTGCGTGATCATCACTTAGCGCTTCACGTCTGTTCTGGGTATTGTATAAATAAATGATTTCTTAGTGGTATATATGAATAAGCATATCGTTGTCTGCGTCAAAGCCACTAAAATAAGAAGTCTGCTTTTTTAAGTACACATAGCAGGGTTCGACACTCACATTTTTAGGTGTTGGTCTGGCCGGACTAGTGCTTCTTTACTTTTACTAGTCCGCGGGCAATTTTATGAGTCCGTCAAAATATGAACAAATAAATAGAATTAATATTGCAATGTACTTTTTATACTTTTTTTAAATAAACACAGCATTTACATGAAATGTTTTGTACCAAGATTCGTTGAAAGCGCGCGATGAGGAACTATGATCGTATTCCTGATCTCGTTCGTAATTCTCTATAAATGATTACATCATCCAAATGTCCGACATCTTTCTTTATGTGTTATACTAAATCATGATCGCTAAAATGTTTAATTTCATATCAACGAGTCCTAGCATTAAGCGCTGAATTAACTCGGAATTACATTACTTCCCGCCAAGAAGCTAAGCTAAAATAAAAATACATACGGGGTTTTCCAGTGAAAGTTGTCGAGAACATCGGTATTTTTTTACCCCCAGAAAACTTTATTAGTCCATTCGGACTAATTAACCACAAATTTTATTAGTCCAAATGAAAATGTATTAGTCTGAGACTAACGGACTAACGTTAATGTCGAACCCTGCATAGAGTAATTTAGTCATGAATTTGGTGATGTTTAAATAATTAACATTTATTTAATAATTAAGATACATGTATATTAACAACAACTAGAGATCTGACAAGAATAATCTACCTGAAGAGGAACTGTCTGTTGAGATTGGAGACATCTATGGTATCCATGTCTATGACATCAATGTTCTGAAACCCAAGTAGTGCCTAAAGAGAATAAAAAAATATCTTAGGAACATGAACTTTATTACCTATAAGTCGGTCCACCTTTAGGTCAGTTGTTTGTTTGAAGCTAATTTTAGAAGAATTCACCTTCTAAAATACCTTTCTTTTTATAATTCACCTATAAGTCGGACACAGAGTTTTGGACAAAAGTTTAACTCCAAAATATCTGATATACTTATAGGCGAGTAAATACGGGAAAAGCCTAATAGTTCAGCAATCTTTCCTTAAATCTGCTAGTTCAAGGCTTGGAATCATATTTAATACATGTATACCAGAAAACAGAATAAGTTACTGTTACATGATATTGAAGGAACTTTCAATCTAATAGCAGCGGTCCACTTATTGCTGATGAGAACATGGTGTGTGCTGGACTGATTCAAGGTCATGTCAAATTATTATTTCATATGTACTAGTTGATTATTCAAAATCTAATTTATAACACTGAAGAATCATTTTCATACTCAGTAGATTCTAGCTCGGTTTTAAGTACTCTCAGTACATTGATTGTTTTCAGTTTACATACTCACTAGATTCTAGCCCAGACTTTAAGTACTCTCAGTACATTGATTATTTCCAGTTTACATACTTACTAGATCTTTAAGGAGCTCACAGCCCAGACCTCCTGAACCAATCACTAGAATTTTACACGTCTCCTGTAGAAACGTCAATGTCTAAAAATAAAAACAAATGAGTAGATATCAAAGTCTGACAATGTCTAAAAATAAGAACGAAGGAATAAACAGCAAAGTTTGACAATGTCTAAAAATAAAAACGAAAGAATAGACATCAAAGTCTTATAATACAGGAACAGTAACCGGTTACTATGTTTCCTGAACATGCTGTAGAAACTACTAACAAATAAACATCAACTCTAAGGATGAGAAAACTAGTGTAGGACACTGATTGTGATTTGTATATAAAATTCCATAAATGTGTTAAATACAACAGCATTCAGTGCTGAATCATTGTGAATGATGCAATCTTATAAAACACTTATAAAAATATCAACTTTATGGATATGATCACAAAATAAAGTGCCACGCCACAGCATGATACGCCCGTCAAAAAATTACAATTACCTTAAACAATTAAAAGTGCAAGAAAATCATGTCAACCTTGATTTTAAGATTTCCATGATTTTTCAACTCCTTAAAAAATGTGTTTATCCATCTCCTGTGGTGTAGGCATTAATTATAACATATACTGCATCATTCATAGATTTCTATACTGGTTGTGTTAGACCTTGCCAAATGCCTATCATATTAAACAATATCAAATTAGTCTTAACAACTTAATCTATACCTAATTAATTTTGAAAATAAAAGGCTGGCCATCAAATATAAACTGACCAACAGTTCTTCTGTCTAATTCCCAAAGGATGCACTGTCAGTTAATTAAGATAATGCTCTGAAGAAATGATTGAGACAACTATAGCCTTGCTACACTGAACACATTAATTAATCTTTAACTGGATGCTTGTCTACTCATTACTCCCAAGAGATTATTGGATCTGCACTATCTACCATAAAGCATTTTTAAAACATAAAACCTCAATGATTTTTTTGTTAGATTTAATGGCAGACAGGTTTTAATATGCAATTCATATGGACATGCTGATTCTACCCCACCCCCATAAAATTATTTTTTTAAAGTTCATAATATTATGTAATATCAAAATAGTTTATTATGCAAAATCAAATTAGTTTTATTTACTTCTCATCAAATTCATTTTAAAACTTATGCTAGCCAACAAGAGCTATTTTTAATCGAACAGGATTACCCATTTGACCCAATACTCAAGGGATATAGATAGCATCGATGCTCTTCCTCACACTAAACTCATTAATTTCTCTAATTTGACATGCAATTTTCTGTTATCAAAATTCTTCTTGACCAGTGCTTGATAATTAAACTCATGGGAGTGGTGGAATTTCTTTAACATACATTACATTTGTTATATATTGCTGTCAAGTATATGCTTAAAAAAATAAGTATTTTCTTGATTTAACATTTTTCTAATAAGAATAGTGCAATACTTTTACATTTTCTGGAGTGTGTAAATGAAGAGAAAACAAGACTTTTTTTTTTAAATTTCACTTAAATTAAAGGTCACAGTGACCTTGAAATAGGTCGCGACACACCCTCTACCTAAGATGCATGAAGTGGCCAAGTTTGATGATTCTAAGTCTAATAGTTTTCTAGTTATGGACCAGAAAGGATTTTTCCATATTTGGCGATAACTTTTTAATTAAAGGTCAGAGCGACCTACTTTTTGTGCGCGACACACCTTCTACCCAAGATGTATCAGCTGACAAAGTTTGATAACTCTAGGCCTTATAGTATTCAAGTTATGAGCCGGACACGAGAAAAGCTAACAGACGGACGGACAGACGGACAGACAGACGTACATGAAGCCTATAGTATAATACGTCCCGTCTTAAGACGGGCGTATAAAAATTATGTCCTATATATATCATCATGCTTCATTACCTCTGTACTGGGCTCAAAGTCTGGGTGTGCAAATGGACCGGTCCTCTCCAGCATCTTCTGTATGTGGCTCCATCTACCGGGCCAGTCCATTCTGTCACTGAAAAAGGGGAGGTAAACATCATAAAATCATCATCAATAAAAAAATTTTAATAATTAAGAACCATTATTTTTCGTGCAGAGCCCTGCATAAACTTTCATAGGAAACTAAAGGATTTGGAATATGCAAACTGACCAAAGAAGGATATGGAGATATCGAACAGTATTCAATCTTAAAGTCCATAAATCAATACAAAATAAGAGCATAGAAAACACGGACCTTCGAAACATCAGAGGTGGGATCAGGTGCCATGGAGGAGTGAGCATCCCCTGTCAAATGGTCACACACGCCATTATTGGCCGAGATCCCTGCATTCTACATGAGGCTTGTAAATTTCTTGTGCTACTGGATAATAGTACAAATAGCACATTTGATCAAGATTTTGCTTCTTACCAATAGTTGGGGGAATCAATGATTATGATGTAACGCGGTAATCAAAAAGCGACGCTCGTCACTGCGAGCCCTTAAAGCAATACCTGGGCAAAAAGAAATTCCAACTTGCACATCAATCCAAATGTTCCACTACAATATTATCTATAGAAATGAACTATAGTATGAAGTATTTGAAGCGTATCATTGCTCGATAGAGCTGGGTATCGCGACTGAAAAATCGTATCGCGATATATTGCAATATTATATTTTGTATTGCAATATATCACAATATAAAATTTTTAATAAATTTTGCTTTTTGTCAATGTCAAATGAAATCACAAACTCAAATTACATGTTTTCTCGAGTTGATATTGCAACTGCCTGGTCGCGTTGTGTTGGCGCAAGTGGCAAGCTAAGTTTTTTGTGGCACAACTTGACGAATTAAGTTGTAATATTCAGATTCGGCTTTAACATGAAAGGGTTTCATGTAACAGTTGTCTCTTCGTTTCTGACAGAGACATGTCTCTCGTTTCTGATCACACGTCACTTGCCGCCATATTTTACCTTGAAAAGGGCAAATAACTCTTTTTATAACAATTTATAGCATATCAAACCCGAACCGGTATTCACAAAAAAATACCGCGATACGTATTGTGAAGAAAAAAATCGGGATACACCGGTTAACCGGTAATATCGCACAGCACTATTGCTCGAGCTTCCGAGGTTTATACATTGTAGGAATGACTTGTTGCTATGAAAAATCAACAACTTTATATTTTGATGGATTTAAACCTTCCAGACTTAAGAAAAGAAAGTCTTATGGTGATAGGGTATTAAAAGGGTGTCCATGTAGTGTATTTGGGGGTGTCCATATAGTGTATTTGGGGGTGTTTTTCTAATGTAATTTGGATCAGGTTCAGGAGCCCAACTATCAATCTCTTCCTGCGTTTCCGCCAAGCTGGGTGCAGGTCATGATGTGAGAGCTGCCTAATTCTGTATATCTTATCATTTGCACCTCATTAATACATTCATTTTACCCAAAGTGATTTAAAATCTTTATTCTATTAGGAAATTACTTTTTCAAAGCAAAAAGTTGAAGTGGACAGCTAATTCATTTTAGCCTGTACGTATTAATTAAAAAGAGCATTTAAAATCTGGACACAAAATCACAAATGAGATAATGTGACACTTGACTGAAATATATCTCAGTGAGATGTCAAAGGGACTAAAAAAATTGGTCTGGTGTCCCTCCGACAATGACATCTCAGCCCAAATCTGTAGAGACACCAGGCGGTCCAGGCCCCATTTTTTTTTAACTCTAGATCTCGCCGATTTACTGTGTAATGGTGCAGGTTCTGACTTCTCCTGGGACGTAAAGCATCAAACTTATGAAAGAAGCCTGGAAAACATCAGACATTTCGTACCATTCTGATCATTCTATATCACGTACAATGTATATTAAAACTACGCTTGCGCTTATCTGTGAGTTGAGCCCTTTTGCTAGCCTATACATTTCCAACAACAGTTAGTGATTTGTAAACAGCAATGAAATTTTTTACTTTAAAAGTCTACTTCAGTACTTGCCTTTGAATCAAGAAAGTATACTCTTACAGTTGAGTTACTTCTTCCAGTTCCAACCCAAGCAATTCTCATTCGGTGAGTCAATGTCGTTTTGATGCTTGAAACTATGAACAAATGCTTCGTTATCATAAGCGCATATGAAAACCAGAGTGCTTATATCAAATAAAAAATATTGTAAGACTAATTTATTCATGCTCTTAAAATTTCTCAAATATTATAAAATATAGACTGAACAAAATTTAAAGTTCTTAAAGCCATTCTCTTCTTTAAAGACCATACAATTTATCTTTATCAGAAATATTATTCTTTTCATTTTCCTAAGCGGTCTCATTTTGTCAGCAACTAAGGATGGCAGACGTTCAATTCGCTCCACTGAGGAGTCTGAGCGACTTCATGCTGGAGTCAGCGCGCTTCCAGATGCCAAACTTAAACGACCCAGATAAATGGGCGAACAGGGTGATGCACAACCTGTATTACTTCCAGACAAACTATTTCCTGATGACCATCATCGTGTTCCTCGTGATTGGGTATGACTACATAAGTATTCAGTACATCAGTACTTTGAGTAGTGAGTCAACTGTCACCTTATGTTAATGTGCATACCCGTTAATCCTAGACCATAAAGTAGTGGGCATTTGTTATCTATATTTTAGTAATTTTATTTTAAGTGTTTGTTTTACCTGATATGTAAAGAGAAGAATTTTCTAATAGATAAAATTTGTTGAAATAATCTAACTTTGTCTCAGGACAAGCCCTCACTACTAGTGATGGGGAATCGGAAAAAATTCATAATCGATTATCGGTAATAATGGGCTGCATGGGCACATTCTAGTTAGCATACATGCCAACTTTTGAAAATTTTCTTGGGGGAGATTGCGCGCAACAACATTTTTAAAAGTTCCTAATTCGCGGCGTTTTGTCGTGAAATAACTTTTTGTAATGTTTTTTCTACATTATCAATCTACTACCTTAATTATATCATATATTATTACTACTTCAAAAAGTGTTTTCTTATCTATCAACTTAAAGAAAAGCACAAATACAAATCATTTATAAATTTTAAAAAAAAGAAGACAATTTTATTCAAAATCATTTAATATTTTAATATTAAGATAAATATACCCTCTGTCTTGAAGAATGTGATACACAGAGTTAACATATTAGTACGTAAAATAAGGATGTTAAACTTTACAGATAAGCTGAACTGTTCATTGTGTGTTGGTAAATTACAAAGTTTATAAGGCTACTGTTATACAAAATATTGTTAAATTATTTTTTTCTTAATCAGAGGGAATATTAAGTCACTTTAACTTTTCATTCAGTCTGCAAAAGGCATGGTCTTTTCCTTTTTTTTTTTATTTTGATCACTCTGGGCAGTCCTAATGGTTTTCACTTGCAGGCACATTTTTTCCATGTTGGATTTTGGTAGGGTATTTTCCATGAAGTAGATTATAATTTAATGAGGAATGCAATATTCCAAAACTTGAACACCTTTTATAAACGGTTTATACGTATATTGTCAAAGTTTGCTGTAAAGTGTGAACTCTCACAAGTTTGTCAGTTTGTATCCAGTGTCGTGTGTATTTCTAGAATTTCCACATCTGGCATAATTGTCTCGGTTAAAATACACTGTTAATGAGGTTCAGGAGCAATTAAAACCTCTGTAATGACTGCTAGCACAGTTGACACCTTGTTGATTACCTGTTATCAGCAGCAATTAACAGATATCCTACCGATAAACATTGAAACAGCCATGTTTTCTGCACACGGAAATACTGTATTATTCAAAGCGAATCGGTAAAAAATCCGGATTTTCGAAATATCGGTAGAAATGGGAGAAAAAAATTAATCGGTAGACAAGCGGTAGACAGGGTTAAAAATCGGTAGACTCCTGAAAAAATCGGGAAAGTTGGCATGTATGAGTTAGAATAATCTAACTGTGTCTCGGTACAAGCCCTTGCCACAGTTAGAATACGTCCCATATACATGATATATTTGCAATGTAGCAAATCGGAGCGGATCCGCTCCGAACCAATTTTGAAGAATATAAAATGATTTGCACTGGAAATAACTATCCAAATAATCAAAACAAACCTTTTTGAGATTGCTTATGCCTTTCATCCCAAAAAATAATCCATATAAATACGAAAATCCAATTACATTTTCTCAACGTTTTCTCTCGATTCAAATCCTGCCATGTTTACATTCAGAACTCTCTAGATTGTTCCTAGTAAATGCACTATGCGAGTTATCGCCCGTGTTTCTTTTGCTACATTACGAATACACAGAACGAATTCTATCGTTAAACCGGATCCGTAGGACAATATCATTTTAACGATAGAACATTCTATCTAGGCACATTCGATTAATAATCGATTATAATCGAAATTTTGAACTTCAATAAAATTAATATAGAAAAGTTAAAACTTATTCAGATTTCTGTCAGACTTTTACATAAAAAATCTTTTACTCACATAAAATATTCAAAAATTTTAATTGAAATTTCTTTTTTAAAAAGTGGAAAATAGTATTTAGTCTACTTTAAACAATATAGGACTATTGAAACAGAATGGGAATTTATTTTTTTTTTATAAAGTCCATGCAATTGGTATTTTACTGATATTAGTCCCACCTTTCATTTAATACATGTACGTATTTCTTAAAATTTGTTTTGATTAGTTAAAATTGCAAGTTGTAAAAGTAATTATCCTCATGTTAGACTTGTATTTATGATTATAATTGCGTTTAAAGATTGACTAGACTAATTATGTTTTCCTTTACTTGCAATATTACTGTTTCCTGGTATTAGTCTAACCCCATATTTAATCATGGCGGTAAAAGTATCAACAAGACACGGGATCCTTTCATGTTTTCAACATTCATCACTACTTTTATGCTCTTTGCACTTGGATTTGGTAATAAAATTAAAGTTTGATAATTTCATTTTTTATTAGCGATGTCGGCGACATTTATTTTATAATAATACCCCCCGCAAACGAAGTTTGGGGGGGTATATAGGAATCACCTTGTCCGTCTGTCTGTCTAGCTGTCTGTGCAATCGTGTCCGGTCCATATCTTTCTTACAGAGGGACATTAGAATCTACTACTCCACACTAAGATTGCCCATGACCCAAGGGTGTGTCATGACCTTGACCCAAGGTCATTTGGGGAAGTTCAAGGTCACTGGAAGAAAAGTTTCATAATTCATGTCCGGTCCATATCTTTCTTATGGATAAACTTGGTAGGTTCTCATTTCACACAAAGATTGCCCATGACCCAAGGGTGTGTCATGACCTTGACCTAAGGTCATTTGGAGAAGTTCAAGGTCACTGGAAGAAAAATTACAAAATTCATGTTTGATACATATTTTTTATGGATGACCTTGGTAGGTTCTCATTTCACACAAAGATTGCCCATGACCCAAGGGTGTGTTATGACCTTGACCCAAGGTCATTTGGGGAAGTTCAAGGTCACTGGAAGAAAAATTTCATAATTCGTGTCCAGTCCATATCTTTCTTATGGATAAACTTGGTAAGTTCTCATTTAACACAAAGATTGCCCATGACCTTGACTCAAGGTTATTTGGGGAAGTTCAAGGTCACTGGAAGAAAAATTTCATAATTCCTGTCCGGTCCATATCTTTCTTATGGATAAACTTGGTAGGTTCTCATTTCACACAAAGATTGCCCATGACCCAAGGGTGTGTCATGACCTTGACCCAAGGTCATTTGGGGAAGTTCAAGGTCACTGGAAGAAAAATTTCATAATTCCTGTCCGGTCCATATCTTTCTTATCGATAAACTTGGTAGGTTCTCATTTCACACAAAGATTGCCCACAGGGCTCTCACACCACTTTTTGGGACTGGGGCTGGGGCCATTCAAATTGGGAAAATTATCCTCATTTTGGGAAAAGTTGGATAACCAAAATTTATTTAAAAAATCCTCAAATTTTGCTTTTCTAGCATTTTGTCATCAATTTAACTCTGGTTTTGAATAAATAGTTAAACAGAACAAACCTTGGTATGTAGGCTATATATGAAAGTATACATTAGCTTTATCTTTACTATCTTTGAGTGTTGATAATTGCCGTTATGTCTTTCTGAGTAACAGTCGCTAGTCAAGTAGTCCCGAATTTCCTCAATCACATAGACAACTTTGCTTACCAAAACAGCGCAAGACTGCACATGCCAAAGCGTGGGTATGTTTCTAGGTGCAGCTTACTAATGTTTAAATGAAATGTCTATTTTTGAAACCAATATGATGTTTTTTGTTGAAACTACATGACAAGATACTCTGCTCTCATAGTTAGTTAACCTGTTTCCCAGAACCAGCTTACGAATGCATTTGGTGCGAACTATTAAAATAGCAGTACGTACAGTTCTAATAACTCTTCACTGGCTACCTGTGGCATACCGTGCACAATATAAAATTCTGTTGTACACTTTCAAGGCCTTACAGAAGCTAGCCCCGAAATACATCCAGGAACTTGTTCAGGTCTATCGCCCACAACGTTCACTACGGTCTGGGGATTCACTGAGCCTTGTTAAACCACGCACTCGAAGTAAGATGTATGGAGATAGAAGGTTTGATGTATCTTCAGCCACCCTGTGGAACTGCCTCCCGCTGGATCTTAGGAAAGAACAGTCACTTGAAGTTTTTAAAAGAAATCTAAAAACACATCTTTTTAGACTCGCCTTTAGTTTATAAGGCTCTAGTCACAATGGAGCATCCAGTTGGTTTTATTTTATTAAAAAAAAAAAAAAAGCCCTATTATTTTACCTTTTTGCTATTTTATATTGTACCCGTCCTTTGTTTTATATTGTAATTGTTTTCTACGTGTAAAGCGCTTTAGGGTAATTCCATAATTATATAGGGCGCTATATAAAAGTAGATTAATAATAATAATAATAATAATAATACAGTTTCACTTTTATTCGCAAGTTTGTTTCATTTGGGGTTTTTATTGCGATTAAGTTTCATGGACTTTTATTTTTTAATTAATATTTTGCAATGGAAATTGGGAAAGTACCTTTTTTTGCATTGGGAATGGGGCCGAATACCGGCCCCAGATATAGAGAATCTAGAGCCCTGGCCCATGACCCAAGGGTGTGTCATGACCTTGACCCAAGGTCATTTGGGGAAGTTCAAGGTCACTGGAAGAAAAATTTCATAATTTTTGTTTGATACATATCTTTATTATGGAAAAACGTACCTCTGAAAAACCAGCAGGGGGTATTTTGTCCCGTTTGGACAGTTCTAGTTGATTAGTAGCATAGAAGAGCTTCTAACAACTGACAATCGATTGTCGCCGACAATCGTTCCATCACTACTCACTACAGTTAGAATACCTCCCATGTTATATAACTTCCAATGTAGTAAAAAATTGCAGAATCGCTGCGAAACAACTTTGAAGAATTCAAAAGGATTTGCACTGAAAATAACTTCCAAAACCATAATATACCTAAATTAATTGTAACGTCAAACCTTTTTGAGGTTTTGTGTGCCTTTAAACCTAAAATATAATCCAAATAAAGATGAAAACTCGACTTATTTTCTCAACATTTTTTCTCGCTTCAAATTTACGTGCCATTTTTAATTCGGAGCTCTAGCTGTTTCTTTTGATTGTTTGTAGTAAATGCTCTGAGTTTGAGTTATATAGCCAGTGTTTATTTTGCAACATTGTGAATACACAAAACAAATTCTATTGTTAATAATACTAAAGATAGAACATTCTATCAGACAAAATCATATCAATCCTTTTTTTTTTTTAATCTTGTTTCAAACTGACACAAAATACCAAGCTAAATCAAAATCGCATGAACCACTTCACTGCTAAAGAGAAGCAATTCCATTTTTACCATTAGAATTTGACACAACTCTGATTTTAGAGCCTGTTAAGTTTAGAATACATACTTTGCCTGTTTGCCAACTCTTTTTCTCATTACTGACAACATAAGGCATTGACTATTTTAGTTTATCCTTGAGTAAAAAATACTAAATCTTAATTGAATTTCTAACTCTTAATTTCTAACTCTGAAATGAAAGAAAATTCTGGACTATCGAGAGTAAAGTTCATATATTTATCATGTTTATGAAGAAATTTCAATATTTACAAAAAATGCTATCAAAGATTTTAAGTATCTGCACCAGTAAAATAAAGTTGCACAAATTTTCTCTTCTTTTCTGTTTGAATATATACAATTTGTATGCCAACACTTAATTTTGATAAACTGACTCCACTTCTGTTTGAAGGATCCTACACCCCGTGAAGATGGTGTGTGGCTTTGCAGCAATAGCAGCAGCATTTGGTGTCTTTGTTTACTGCACTAACAGCCAGTGGACGGCGCGAAGGTTTAAGAAGAACCACCCAGTCATCAGTCTGATTATCATCGTGGCCGCCGGTTATCTGCTTGTATACATGTTTGGGGCTGTCATCGTCTTCATGTTTGGGATTGCTTTTCCATTGTTGTGTAAGTTTATTTTAATTTGTAAATTTATATACTCCCTATTTAAAAAGAAGTGAGGTATAGTGCTGGGGGTGTCCATCCGTCTGTATGTCCATCAGATCTGTTACCCTTTCGGGTACCCATCTCTGATCCTAACATTATCCTAAACCACAGAATAAAATTTATTGATAGTCTTACCAGCACAGAAAATCCAATACATAGTGCCATTGTACATGTCCTACTTTTCCATTAGACAATATTAGGAATGTCCAGTTATTATCTGCAACTCATTTAAAAATGTTATAATAAAACTTTTTTCTGATAAACCACTGGACAGTATTAATATGCAAAAATTCCAAAAAAAAAAAAAATTGGGATTAATTTATTTTGTTTTTAGCTAACCTGAGCCAAAGGCTCAAGTGAGCTTTTCTGATCAAAATTTGTCCGTTGTCTGTCGTTGTCGTCGTTGGCGTTGTTGTTAACTTTTCACATTTTCATCTTTTTCTCAAGAACCACGGGGCCAATTTCAACCAAACTTGCTACAAAGTATCCTTGGGTAAAGGGGATTCAAGTTTGTTCAAATGAAGGGCCACGCCCTTTTCCAAGAGGAGATAATTATGAATAAGAGAAAAATTAATGACATTTTTAAAAAATCTTCTTCTCAAGAACCACTGGGCCAGGAAAGATGAAACTCAAGTGGAATCATCCTCAGGTAGTGTAGATTCAAGTTTGTTCAAATCATGACCCCCAGGGGTAGGTTGGGGCCAAAATGGTCGATCAAATTTTTATATAGGAATATATAGGAAAAATCTTTAAAAATCTTCTTCTCAAGAACCACTGGGCCAGGAAAGATGAAACTCATGTGGAATCATCCTCAGGTAGTGAAGATTCAAGTTTGTTCAAATCATGACCCCCAGGGGTAGGGTGGGGACAAAACGGCAGATCAAAGTTTTACATAGGAATATGTTGGAAAAATCTTTAAAAATCTTCTTCTCAAGAACCACTGCACCAGGAAAGATGAAACTCATGTGAAATCTTCTTCAGGTAGTGTAGATTCAAGATTGTTCAAAACATGTACCTCTGGGGATAGGGTGGGGCCAAAATGGCCGATCATATTTTTACCTAGGAATATATAGGAAAAATCTTTTAAAATCTTCTTCTCAAGAACCACTGGACCAGGAAAGATGAAACTCATATGGAATCATCCTCAGGTAGTTTAAATTCAAGTTTGTTCAAATTATGACCCCTGGGGGTAGGGTGGGGCTAAAATGGCCGATCAAATTTTTACATAGGAATATATAGGGAAACCTTTAAAAACTTCTTTTTAAGTACTATAAAGCCATGCTTAGTGATATTTATAGGGAATCATCCCCAGGTAGTGTAGATTCAAGTTTGTTCAAATCATGACCCCCTGGGGGGTTAAAATTCAAGACACCCCCCATCAGTAAACTTTAAGTTCTGATCTGATGTGTGCTTTTTCCTAGCCAATTGCTCAGATGAGTGATGTGGCCCATGGGCCTCTCGTTCTAATAAATGAGCCAGGGATTTTTTTGGGGGTAAATTTGTAATTATTTATAAGGAGTTGATAATGATTTAAAATGGTTGAACTTCCTTTATGTTACAGTGACCTTGATTCATGCTTCCTTTTGTTACAGTGACCTTGATTCATGCTTCCTTGTGTTACAGTGACCTTGATTCATGCTTCCTTTATGTTACAGTGACCTTGATTCATGCTTCCTTTTGTTACAGTGACCTTGATTCATGCTTCCTTGTGTTACAGTGACCTTGATTCATGCTTCCTTTATGTTACAGTGACCTTGATTCATGCTTCCTTTTGTTACAGTGACCTTGATTCATGCTTCCTTGTGTTACAGTGACCTTGATTCATGCTTCCTTTATGTTACAGTGACCTTGATTCATGCTTCCTTTATGTTACAGTGACCTTGATTCATGCTTCCTTTATGTTACAGTGACCTTGATTCATGCTTCCTTTTGTTACAGTGACCTTGATTCATGCTTCCTTGCGAATGAGAGGATTAAAAAACAAATGGACAAACAAACTGGAGACTGCAGGACTGAAGAGAACACCGATGGGAATTATACTGGACGGACTGGGGCAGGAACAGGAAATCACAATGTAGAAACAGGAAGTGAAGGGCATTGTGGGAACAGGGAAAGCATGGAACTACTTAGAATGCAATCTCATTTATCTCGGGTCTTGCCGTCAGAGGTGGGAAAAACAACCTCAAATGTATTAACATCACCTTATGTTAAAACTTTATACATTTCCTGTTTATTCAAATATATAGGATAGATGGAGTTAGAAGCCCTTCTATTGTATGATTTAGGTAATATCACTACATTGAATAAAGTTAACCTCCATATCCCACAAATAAAAGGTCTCCATGCATTCATTTCAAAGATCTTGAAAAAGGGGTTGTCATGGCATCTACGCAATACATTCAAGGTTGTTTTTCTGCCAGTCGGAAAGGCCCAAGAAGTTGCGATTGTCTTAGAATGTTGGGAAAGAAATTAAGATGTTTTGGGATTGAGTTCAAGTAGTACGTGTGAAGGTTATATACATATTACAGAGATGTTAATGTTTTGATTTTTTTTTTTTTGATTTGTTTTCTTTTTTTGAATCTGTCATTTTGCTTTGAATTTAAGATAATGATGTATTTTTGACAGTTTTACTGAGCATATGATTTTTTATTTCACCTTTACTTTTCATGAAGTTAATTATTGAAAATTGAAAATATTTGGTGATCATTGTTGATAATCCTTAATGAAGACATGAAGTCTTGCCCAATTAGATTAAAATGAATTCTAGCTTACAAATAAAGATTGAGTTATTTGGGATGTTTTAGACTGTGTTCAGGGTAAGGACTATGTCCATACACCAAAACTGTTTGTATTTTTTAAAATTTATTTTTTATTGATCTGTAGTTCTGCCTTTGAAGAAGATATGTAGATTGAGAGTTTTATAATTATATAGAGCTGAATGATTTATTATTAAATTGAATATTAATTAGTATAAATTCCATTCTTTAGCATGATATCGTTTAAATTGTACAAGAAAGAAGTGCTGAAATACTGACATATTCATAATTTAATGTATGGACAGTGCTAAATATAGGACCACACATTGGTTTGTGCCATAAAATTTACTGAATGAGCAAGAGCAGTCTGAAACTTAAAGAAGAATGAGCTTTTACAAAGAGAGATAACTCATTTACTTTCTGCTTGGAGAGTTAACTCTTTAATAAAAATATTTTCGAAAAGAGATAAATTTTATTTATATCTCCATTTTCTGTTAAGAATTTTGCCCCTTTAAGGACTGAAATTTTGTTTTCGAATAGAAGTGATTTTCTGATAATATTGAATGATTTATCATGCATCAATAAACTAAACAACCAAGAAAAAACTTCAGATTTAAAAAAATAAAAAAAATTGCCAAGCCTTGATCCTTATGTCTCTCATTTTGTTAAATATGTAATTTTATGATTTATAAAATATCACACAGAAAGATGATGCCTCTTTTGAAATGCTTGTAAAATTATTTACTTACTTGTTTTGAATGGGTATTTTTTATGTATGACATAGCATTCAAAATATTATGAATTTATAACTGTTAATGCATATATTTTTTTTCAAAATTACCTTTTGAATAGTGCAAGTCATTTTTTCAAGTTAAAGGATGGGAGAATGTGAATGCGTTTTGGCAGTTTTTACTGAGGATTGCAAAGTTTTGAATGACTTAAAAGAACTGAAGAAATAACTGTTGTGTGGTTTTAAGGCATGTGCAATAATTCATGATAACGACCATGTTGAGATTAATTAAGTGCTGTAATTTAAGTGATAGAAATTATACATTGTATTCTTTACTTTATTCACATTTTTAAAATGCAAAAACATGTCAATATACTTTTACCATTATGCAATAGAAGAACCTGTTTCATTTAGCGTGACTATTCTTAGTACTTAACTTTTTCTTAATTTGGTTAGAATATTTCAAATTTTGCACTATTGGAACTCTTTTGAAATGGAAGGAAAATTTATAGCACACAATTACATCGTGTGAGCAGAAGACAAAGGGAGTAAATGCATACATAATTGACAGAATTTTTAAAGATACTAAAAAGCAAAAATAATATTTTACTGTGGGTCAGTATTAATTTTTGAAGCATTTGTAACATATAACATGTAACTATAGTGCTTGCACTTACATGTACCCTTGCTGATGTGGCTATTAAGTCTGAATGTGAAATCACCACAAATCATTCTGTTTAGAAAAAATAGAGCCAAGTAATAATGTAAACAATGATTCCTAACAAAAGGTTTAAGTTAAAAAATATATAATATGTATACATTATGTACACAAAAACTAATTGAAGAAGTATCCCCTTGCCAATTTTGAGATACTCTTTTTGGTTTCTTTTACAGAAGAGTTCATACTGTAAAAGGCCAAATGAAAATGAAATGATTAATCCAGGCAAATACAGAAACTTGCACATATAAATAATTAAGTCCCATGATATATTTGAAAAAAAATTGTAAACAAAATTGTACATTTAAGTCCCATGATATTTAAAAAACCAAACTGCTGTGTGAGTGTGTTAGATTGTGTGTTCATTTAGTTTTCAGTTACTTAGTATGTCTGTGATCAAAGAATATTTATGGATTAATTTTGCTGAAATCTAGGTAACCGTTGTACTTTCCCAGGAAAACACTCTAGCTTGCATTGTATATTTTATCAGACATATTATGCTTAAAATGTTTATCAAATTCTTGCAAGTTTGATGTTCTGATTTTTTATGTAAATGGCTTTCACATGATTGACAAAAACAATTCCCCATAAAGTAGACTTGAGGCACACCTGTATAAATCATGTACTTGTCTGAATGTTTTCTAGAAACATAGTTGTTTTTTTGTTGTGTTCTTTTTTATCATTTGTCATCTTTTGTATTTATCTGTATAGGCGTGAGATAAAGTTAATCATTGAACAATCTAATAAATCCAGTGAATTTTATGGGTTTTTTTTAAATTTGCTATTTAAGATGTAAAAAAGCAGAAAATGGAAAGTGTCTGATTCAGCAAATACATGCAATTTATCATTAATTGATTCAAATGCTTGCTGACATTTTTCATAATACTATTAGTTATTTAGACACTTAGAATGGTAATACGGAAATATGTGGGGTCCTTGTAAAAATCCATATTGGGCGATGGTTCACTAAAAGATTAAATATTGATAGTATCAATAAACGTCTTTTACTGAACGTCCACGCAAGACGTTCTACATCCATTGTACGTTGTCGTCAGACGCATTGTGACGTCAGTTATGAAGCTCCATGCAGGTCACGTGAAAGCAGTATTGTGTGGTTGGTAAATTTTTAATATACGGTGGGTAAGTCATGTGGTGGGGGCACATTAGCAATGTGAGATGGGTAGACAGCATAACATCGTTTCATGCAGTATTGCTTTCGGCCAATGAAATTTCACGATTTTTATCAGAGGCAGGATAAATGTTATTGTTAGTCCATTATTTATACACTGAATTGACAATGGATATTTCCATAATTTCCCACTCATGACAACGAGCACACGGCGGGTGTGACCGGTCGGCAGGAGATGCTCACTCCTCCGTGGCACCTGCTTCCAACTCTGATGATTCGGAGGTCTGAGTTTGCTGTGCTCATATTTTGTATTTTTTTTATGGACTTTGAGATTGAATACTGTTCTTATCTCCATATCCTTCTTCATAAATGTAAAATTAAGGTAAGTCACTCCTGAAATTTGTTATATCAAGAATTTTTTGAGAAGTATATTTTGGATAAGTACTTATAGTGTAACTCAAAATCGCAAAGAAAATAGGGGGTCAGTGTGCATCCTACTGATCTATAGTACATTTAAGTTGACCTTTTTGCACTAAAATTTCACCTCTTTGGTTAATTACTTTAACCCTTATTATATTTGATTAGATGTAAGCATGGCAATAAATATAATCTTATTTTACGTAAAATAGTTTGAATAATATTTATCGTGAAACAAATCTTGCAAATTAAAACGCGTAATTTATTGTGTGACCTTTTTGCAATAAAAAATAACATTTTTGGGGTATTTAAAAACTTAATAGGCAATAAAAAAATTTCTTATATCAAACTTTTTACAACTTGAGTGCTGATCAGTCACAAGTATCGAGTAGTTTGAAATAATGAAAGAAAAAGATGGGGTCAGTGATGTTAATTTTGAAATATTTGTCAAAATATGTGATTTTCAGGCAAAAGATAGCGTAAATTTAACCTTGACTTCTTTAATATATTTTCATTTTATGGAAAAGTTTATTGAGGGAAGGTGTAAAACTTGGTCTAAAAATATAATTTAAGACCTATATTAAATATTTTTAGCAATATCAAAACGGAAAATATTCTCCGAGTAAAAGTATATGAGGCTAAATTTCCATTACATTAAATTTTATAAATGTGCAGATTTGCAGAATTTTCTGCTAAATATCCTTCCACCAAAAGAAATAGTCCCTCATAAATTTTTCTTCTTTGTAGATTTTTGATCAGTTTTTTCATTGAATGTTTAAAAATTTACATTGTTGAATTTAAATATGTTAAAAAATTGAATTTTGATAAGTAGTTTTGAAGTAAAAGCTTCTGCATGAACTTTTCTAAAAGGCTGACGAGTGACTTACCTTAATACAAACACACAAACGAGGCCCAAGGACCTTACAGGTCACCTGAGTACATGTATAATACAACACTGTAACGATTCACTTTAGTATGAAATAAAACTAGATGCCGTCTAAAAGACAGTTATACCCACAAGCAAGCGTTTTCTCCTAAATGCAGTATTCGTTCTATTTAGGTGTTAATTTCTATTATCTAAATGAAATATATTTGTGTTTTGAATTCGTTAAAAAAAAATGCACATGTGAGCATGTGACTAGTAGGCATATTGCATTAGTATTTTAATACCGTCTTTACTGTTCTGAGAATGAAAAGTATGTCATAATATATTAGGGAAGGGGAAAGTTCACTTGTGTTCAAAGCTGCAAACCCAACACAATTGACCTAGCCTAAATGAAATACCCAGTATAACTCATCTATCTTCAAATCATTTGACAATGTTTTTTCTGTCATATTTGCCTCTTCTACTCCCTCATTGAAGTATATCTCTATGTGCAACATCCTCAAGTTACAGGCACCAACCTGCAATCACTGATCTTATTGGCTCCATGCAGTGGTTTAATGTTAATGGTGAACATAATGAATACTGATCAATTTAAACAATGTACATGTATATAAACAAAAGAACTACACAACTGTGTGTGAAGAAGACATATCAGAGGAAACTTGGAAATGCCAGAGGTCGGATCAGGTGCCAAGGAGGATTAAGCATCCCCTGTTGACCTTTCACATCAGCTGTGAGTCCTTAGTATGGATAAAATAAACAAGTCAAATTAAGTATTAAACAAAGCAGTGGCATTAAATTAAACTATTTCAGTTGGGGAGTGGATGGGGGCCACCATATATTTTCAGTTGAGGACACTACATGTACGAACGCATGCCCTACGGTTTCTACAGCCATGAAAAGGCCTTATAATTGAAATGACACAAGTCACCACACAACGATTAGTTATATTTGCAAATTAAATGCTTACTTGAGAAATTGTTTTGCAAGTGTGAAAGGGCGAAAATAACCCTGTATACAGTAGTCATAAATCAATATATGGACAGTGCTAAATACACATACACATACATTTGGTTTGTTCCGTAAAATATACTGAATGAGCATCAACAGTCTGAAAATAATAAAAAGAATGGGCTTTTAAAGAGAGATTTTTTTCTAGAGAGAGTTAACTCTTTAAAACCAAGGCAGGCTACTCGCTGCTAAGTTGATGTTACAGGGACTTAAAGTTAGCATTTCGTAAATATTAAAGTCATTTCATTTCATGAATATTAAAGGTCATTATAATATTTTTCTTTTTTTCTGCTTAATATCACGAATTATATACGAGTATTTAATAGTATTTTACACAAAAATAAATTTAAAATCTTATTTCATTTAAAGGTTATTATAACTTTTAATTTTTTGGTTATTATAATTAACTTTCACAAATTTTAACTTTATTCTTAATCCTGGAAAAGTGGCAATTTTGATGTTTTTAATTATATAACTTTCATGGTAATTTTATGTCAAAATGTTAAAAACATTTTAATTTTATTCCGGGCAGGCAAAAATTTACTAATCGAGCAACTCGTGTTATGTACAATATATTGAAAACAGGGCTCGAGTTCTGTTAATTTTTATATTTAGAATTCACTGGATGCGTTCAATCGTCAGAGTCTGCTTACCACAACTGCACGGACTGACAATATATTGTGTGTTTGTTTTGCCCCATTTTTTCATTTAAATCATGCATTTATACAAAACGATATTGCCATTTTCATTAAGAATAAAATTATATTTGTGATCCCGGATATGTCATCCACTTCTTTGAAATTTCTTATCTATATAAAGATTTAAAATTAATTTTTGTGTGAAATGCTATTAAATGCTATTAAAATACATACTCGTAATATTATGCTAATAACTTCAAATCTGTGGACCTATATATACATTTCGTAAAAAGGTCATTACATTTCATAAATATTAATGTCATTATTATTACTTTTCGTAATTATTTAGGTCATCACATTTCGTAAATATTGAGGATCACATTTCATAAATATTAAGCTTATTACAATTATATACTGGTTTGTCTGTCAAAATAAAGACATTTTAATTTTATTTTCGGCTGATTTACTGCATCTAGCAATATATTACCATTTTTAAAGTTGAGATGCTGGATTCTGACTTTATTTTCCCCATTTCACTTAAATCATGATTTTAAATATATTTTTCATTAATTTTAAAACTTCATTCCCATGTAACTTTTTATATAAGGATCCTACCCAGACAATTGTATAATGATATAATGCTACCATATGTAATTTTGACCTATATATATACTGTAAAAATGGCCAACATGTAGATATGTTCCAAACATATATTTTTCAGATGAGTGACCAGGTTAAAGTTTTTGAAGCAGGTCCATTCCTAAGGAACTATAAGCCCTACCTGAACTAAACTTGCATGGATGATGCATCTGGGGATGTACACTGTTTTGGGTGCTGGATGTGACCTACATTTCCAAGATGAGTAACCAGGTTAAAGTTTTTGGACCAGGTCCATTCCCAAGGAAATATAAGCTCTACCCTGACTAAACTTGCATGGATGCTGCATCTAGAGATGAACACTATCAGGATGTTTTGTATGCTGGATCTGATCTATATCTTCATTCCCAAGTAACTATAAGCCCTACCTGAACCAAACTTGCATGAATGATGCATCTAGGGATGGGCAGTATCATACTTACTTTGAATGCTAAATCTGACCTTATATTGTCCATACAAGAGACCAGATTAAAGTTTTGGGAACAGATCAATCCGTATGAACTTTAAGTCCTTGATATCTGCAGTTTTAACAAAGTTATGAAAATTTGTTTTCAATATACATGTTTTTCACGCTACAAGCGTAAAAATGTGTATATGCCATGTAAGGGATTATACACAACTTGCTACATATTGTTGTTGGGACTTGAAAATTTAACTATTAAAAAATTCTATTGAAAGCAGCAGCACTTTTCACTGATAACATACAAAGTAGCATAAAGAATTAATAGCTTGAATTTTTAATGTATTACTATTGCTACATTTAATATGAAGTTGATTATATGTATAAGCAACTAATTACAAAGGTCTTTCACATATTTCTGCATTTATCACGTGTTCTATCCATCTAATTTACTTAATATGCAATGTCAGTGCAGAATGTGTTGTTATATCTTTTTCATTAAGGTTTTATATTTTGTAAAAAAACAGTTTAATTAAAATAAATCCAATTTTTAAAATACCCCTTTCTTTTTTTTCCGTATTTTAATCCAACCCAGAGAAGATACTTTTGTCGGATAATAACCCA